AGTATGTCAATATCTGCAATCACTTTGATACTAAAATATTATGGCTTTGAAAGCATCTGATGAGAAACAAACGAAAAAAAAATTAATTCCTATGATTTTGCGCCAATCTTAGTTTTTGCTCTCCTTAAAACAAGAAAAGGGACTAGGTGTATGAAAATTTTCTAGCAAAATACACGGAAATTGAACAAAAATTGGAAAATGACCTTGTGTTTAAACTTTTGCATAATCACAAAGAACTTCACCTGTAGCTCTTCTAGAGTTACTGCCGGTCCCAAGCCCAGGTAAAGGAGGAGGGTTGGGCATGGGGTTAACGACCCCATCCCGTAGAAAAACTAACTCACTAAAACACGCTAACCAGAAGAAATAATTCAAACCATTTAAACACCGTCCTGAGAGTTGAAGGAATAATTATGACGCCTGATAATGAAAGCCGAGTTCCTTCGGAAGTCACGAGGCCGATGCACCTTCTAACAACCAGAGCAACACTCTTTATAAGTACATGGAACGTCTGAACAATGTGGGAGACAGGGAGAACCAGTCAAATAGCAACGGAAATGAAGAGATACAAATTGGCAGTACTCGGAATCAGCGAAACCCATTGGACACAAGCTGGACAGAATAGGCTAACTACGAGAGAGATGGGGGAAAGCTCCACACATTCAGGGAGTTGATCTAATGCTGTCCAGAGAAGCACAAAATGCACTTGTAGGATGGGAATCTCACGGATCCAGAATCATCAAAGCATCATTCAAAGCGAAGAAAGAGGCTGGATTCCGTAAAAATCGGTCGTGCACAGACCAGATTGCGACACTACGGATCATCGTTGAACAATCAGTTGAGTGGAACTCATCACTATACGTCAACTTCATTGACTATGAGAAGGCGTTTGACAGTGTGGACAGGAGAACATTATGGAAACTTCTTCGACACTATGGAGTTCCTGAAAAGATTGTCAACATTATTCAAGACTCACACGATGGACTACAGTGCAAAGTGGTGCATGGAGGACAGTTGACAGATGCATTTTCAGTAGGGCCCGGAGTCAGACAAGGCTGTCTACTCTCCCCCTTCCTCTTCCTTCTGGTGATTGACTGGATTATGAAGAATTCGACATCTGATGGGTAAGACGGAATACAATGGACTTCTCAGAATCAATTAGATGATTTGGACTTCGCAGATAACCTAGCCCTCCTCTCTCAATCACACGAACAAATACAGATGAAGACAGCAAATGTAGCAGCAGTCTCTGCATCGATAGGCCTCCATATTCACAAAGGAAAAAGCAAGATTCTCAAATGCAACACGGGGAACACCAACCCAATCACACATGATGGCGAAACTCTGGAAGAGTTGGAAACATTCACGTACCTAAAAAGCTTCGTTTATAAACAAGGAGGAACGGATGCAATGCCTTTGACATAAAGATCTGATCCACAAGGCAATGGAGCATCGTGAGGGAATGCAGTACCATGATAGCCGGTGACCAACAATTGGTGCATACGCCATTTGTTCCATCAGGATACTAGAGCCAGTACAGCAGCTACGGTCGAGACCACCTTAAAGTGGCTGCTATAATAAAAGTTAAAGAAGCAATGAACAATTGGAGAAACAGCATTACAAAGCTTCAATATAGCCTTCCTTCGAGATGCAGACAAACTCAACGAATTCACGACAGCTCTCAACAACAGCCGCCAAGCCTTACAAGATCTACCCAAATAAATAGAAACTACAAGTGGAAATACGTGCAAGACCTAGCAATGACAGTGGAAAAAGCTGCAAGGGAAGGAGATATGAGACAACTATATGATAAAACGAAGAAACTGGTAGGGAAATATGGTAAAGCAGAGAGACCGGTCTAAGACAAAAAAGGCAAGTCAATCACCGAGATTCAGGAACAACAAGACAGGTGGGTAGAGCACTTTGAAGAACTCTTGAAAAGATTAGCCCCACTGAACTCACCAGACATCGAAGCTAAACACACAGACATTCCTATAGATCTCATTCCACAACGGTCGAAGAAATCAACGTGCCCATCAGACAAATCAAGAGTGCAGAAGCAGCACGACCTGATAATATACCACGTGAAGCACTGAAGTCAGACATAGAGGTAACTACAAACATGCTCCACGTTCTATTCAAGAAGATTTGGGAAGAGGAACAAGTACCAACGGACTGGAAAGAAGGATACTGTTATATATTGTGGCCGAGTGGATGCCTAGCTAATGTGTGACGTGATAAGACCTCCAATCAGGGAGCAGCGAAATATCGATGGGAACAGTGACACACGAAACCGTACGAGCAGTCTAGAGTGCTAACCGGTCCTGCGATCTGCCTAGCCCAGCCAGTTAAGTCCAAAACACCAATAACAGCCTCAGTGGTATCAATCATTATTCACAAACATACTGGGTTTACATACCAATCAAACAGATCACATCGTACCATAAAATGGGAAATAACATTTCTACAATATTTAGCCAAATGTGGCTGTGAATAGGGGGGAAAGTAATCAATAAACTGATGATAACTCAAGAATCGTATAATAATAGTTGAAAGGTCAAAATAAAGCTAATGATAAGAGGAACACGAATATGATTAGGTTAGCTACAATAGGAAATATACGTATTACGTCGGCCAATAAATAGTCCTCAAAAATTACCATTCACAATTCTCTTCGGGATACAACAGATACCTCATCAAGATACCAAAGAAAGGGGACTTTAGCAAGTGTGAGAAATACAGAGATCTCACACTACTATCGGCACCAGGAAATGTTTTCAACAGAGTGTTGCTGAACCGGATGAAAGACGCAGTAGACGTCCAACTTCAAGATCAACGGGCTGGATTCCGTAAAAATCGGTCATGCACAGACCAATTTGCGACACTACGGATCACCATCTAACAATTAAGTGAATGGGATTCGTCACTATACATCAAATTCCTTGACTATGAGAAGGCGTTTGACAGAATGGATACGATGACCTTATAAAACCTTCTTCGACATTATGGTGTGTCTGCGAAGATCGTCAGCATCAAACGGAATTCATATGACGGACTATACTGTAAAGTCGTGCATGGAGGAGATTTGACAAATGCATTCTATGTAAGGACCGGAGTTGGACAAAGATGCTTACTCTCCGCCCATTTTCTTTCTTCTGGTGATTGACTGGATTATGAAGCCCTCAACGTCTGAGGGGAAGCATGGGATACAAATGACAGCTCGGATGTAACTAGACGAGTTGGGCTTCGCAGATGACCTAGCTGTTCTATCCCACACACACCAACAAATGCAGATGAAGACAACCAGTGTAGCACTAACCTCTGAATAAGTAGACCTCAACATTCACAAGGGAAAAGCGAAATCCTCAAATACAACACAGAGAGCACCAACGCAATCACACTTGATGGAGAAGCTCTAGAAGAGATGGAAGCTTTCACGTACTTAATCAACATCATCGATAGACAAGGATGATATGATACAAATGTTAATGCACGAATCGGCAAAACAAAGGGAGCATTACTAAAATCGAAGTGCATATGGGACTAAAAGCAACTGTCAGAATCTTCAATACGAACGTCAATACAGTTCTATTACACGGAGATGAAACGTGAAGATCTACTACAACTATAATCGGAAAGGTAAAGGTATTTATAAACAATTGTCTAAGCAAGATGCTCAATGTCCGCTTGCCGGAGATACTATCGGCAACAATCTACTATGGGAGAGAGCAAACCAGCTTCCAGTTGAAGAGGAAATTAAGAAAAGATGTTGGAGGTGGATAGGACACACATTGAGGAAATCACCAAACTGCATCACGAGGAAAGCACTAACTTGGAATCCTGAAGGTAAAGGCAGAAGAGGAGGGCCAAAGAACACAATGTGTCGGGAATCGGACGCAGACATGAAAAGAATGGATGGTGACTGGAAATAACTGGAAAAGATTGTCTAGGACAGATTTCGATGGTCAATTCTTGTAGGCAGCCTATGCTCCTCCTCGAGTTGTAACAGGTGTAAGTAAATAAGTGTTCTATAGTTCATAGCCAGTCGTCGCATACCAAATGTACATTCTCAAACTAAAAATGATCTCTTCATAGGTAAACTCAAAGTCAGAAGTAATTCTATGCCCCCACTAACGACTAATATTGAGATAGATTTATATACTTTATATGTGAAAAAGATCTCGACCAATGAAGTCAACAAATTCGTGAGTGTTATAAAATGCACCGAATGACAACATTGTTTAAGAGCTGGGGTGAAACTGAAAATGTCTGAATCGTTTCCACTTAGGAATATCTACAAATATTATTTTCATGGCGAAAGCTCAATCATCCCTTTCGATTGATCCAATACAGAGAAGTGGGAATCCTAAGTGCTACGGTTCAACGATTACTGTCCAGTATTGTTAATGCAGCTTTGCAAGCACGGATTCATGTACTCGGCTTTCAGCTACACTTTGTACGGGTGTGTGAGTTGGAGGGGCTAGTGATACTATGTGAAGGTTCTCATAGAAGAATGTAGAGCGGAATTCGAAAGACTTCAACCACTAGGCCACCGTTCGGTTTGGTGATCGCTGTTTTTTCAATTGTTTTTGCTAGCAGAACAGAGACATGTTCGAAGCATATTATAGATAAGATCACGTTGGGGTGCGTTAATTGGCCTGTTTTTAAGAGCTAGTAAATGGGCTGGGATTCTTGAATACTCCTACGTACAGTCCAGATACTCACTGGTGTTTTGTCAATTAACTTGCTGTTTTGCTTTGAAACATATCTACATTATGTTCAAGTAGTGTTTAGACTTGAAAACCGGTTGAAGTAAGTGAAGTGAAGTGTCCAAGAATACTAGGCCGCGTAAGCAGACTTGACTGTTTGCTAGTTGATGCCATTTTAGAATAAAACTTTTCTTTACATTACACACTTTACATAATATCCACTTAACGAGTAAATTTAACTGTCCTTAAAGAGTGCATAACTGAATGAGAAAAAGGTGAATGAATCAAACTTACCTAAAGAAATACCATGCAAAAGTAGAAAAACAGCATCTGTGATTGTTTCAACTCGACGCAATGTGATTAGCTCATTGACACGTGGTTGTTTTGTAGTTGAAATCTCCATAATTATTATATGACCTATAAGAGCAGAATAATGAAAAATTAAGCAAAAAAGAGAAAACGAATAGATCAACATGGCACCATACAGAAAACACACACATGAAGGGAAAAAAGTGTAATAAACCTATTCATTCAATAATTACCTATAAAATAAATGCAACAAACTTGACACGTAAAACTCTTAATCGATTGAAATGGTTAGGACATCTGTTACGTATGTCTATTCATTGCTTACTTCAGCAAGTGATGTTTGATGTTATAAGTGTAGGTTCGGATAGTTAGGGGAGGTCAAACCAAAACATGGCATCAGTCCATGAAGCCACTGGGTGTTGAACTGAGCCATGTTAATAAATGCAGACCACCAGGTTGAGGTCGCTAAACCTAGACCACCATCCCTAAAGACCTTTGGAACCAATCCATCCGGACTAGCTGCTTTTCCTCGTTTCACATTCGGTATAACGTTTTGAACTTCACCGAAAACTGTGGGGGCCCACTTCAATGTTCTTTTCAGGCTGTTTGGGAATGGTGGGTAGTTGTAGAGTAGCTGAAACTCAACTAAACTGCTTCGCCCATCGTTCTTAATGTCTGGGCTGAGAGCAGATAAGAGTGTCGTCTTTTTCCGAGATTGTCTCACTTACACTTGACTTTTTAAAAGTTTTCCAGTGTTACCTACAGCAACTACCCCTTCTATCTATTTTGCCTTCGTTGCCCACCACTGCTCACGGTCGTTCTGTAGACTATTGGTTAACCTAGATCTGATTTGTTTTCGGTCTTCAACGTGTTCGAAACCAGGTGGAATGGGTTTCCGAGGATCTATCGGTGCAATAGACTTAGTAGAAAGCCATTGGTTTTTCGTAACCGTTAGGTTTAAATCAATAATTGATGTCATTGCTATTTGTATGTATCTCCAAGCAACATCTGGGTCAGGCTCATTTGCAGAACTACCTAAGTGTGACCCCAGCTGTTTCCGGAATTTACTTTTGGCTTTCTCGTCATTGAGTTCAATTGTAATGGGTCTTCTTAATGTGGTGTTTTGCGTCCAGTAAGGCGCAAGCAAATGAGTGCTCATATTAGAGCATGATCGGAGTCCAAACAGGTATTCCAGAACGAACGACAGTCTTCAATCGAGCCTCTCCAACGATGACTGATGGCCATATGGTCTATTCGAGTTCACCGTTTGTTTGCTGCAGGTGGTCACCATGTTAGACGAAATCTCTCCTTATGCTTAAGACTAGTGCTTACTAAAAATAGATGATTCTTTGAGCACAGTTGCAGCAGACGATCATCATTACCTGTTCGCTGAGCAGGAATACTAAAATACCTACATAAATGTCTTTCTGGTTGGTTTAAGCTACCTACCTGGGCATTAAAGTCACCTGCTACGAGTACTACGTCTGAGCGTTTAGCTTTTTGAAGTTCAGAGAGCTTTCTGTAAAAGTCATCTTTCACTTAATCTGGGCTGCACTCTGTGAGAGCGTAGGCAGAAAAGACGAAAAGGCAACGATGTGTGTCCCTATCCTTCCGAGTTGTTACGGAGCCATTTAGCCGGACAGCACACAGGCGACTAATAACGAGGATCCATTCTAATAGTGCTTGTTCTGCCCTGGTACTAAGTGCTACCCCTACACCTGCAAGTCCACGACAAATGGCAATCGGGTTGTCACATACACGGAGGGTGTATTTCGTTGACTGTCCATTTTGGCGAGGTGAGGTCAAGTGAATGACTACAGTAGGATCCTGTACGCACGTTGAAGGCTTCAACGTGGATTTTCGTTTCCGGCGGTAAGGCCCTTTAAAGAAAGGAGCTAACACGTCAAAACCCCCCCCCACAAAAGGGCCGTGCGTGACCGGCCTCAAATAGTTGTTCCTTGGACTCTACGGTCACGCTCCCAGGTCGTTAAGACCAACGTTAATACAGCCTTCTTTTTCAGGTCCCTCAAGAAATACCCTTCCACGGTGTGGGCAGCCAGGAAGTGGTATTAGCCCTCATACCTGTTACACCACGCGAGACCAAGTTGGTCACAATCAAATCCTTCCTACAACTCCTAATAACTCTCTTATGTCCACGACTAACCTTACTCACGTTCCTTTATCACTTCGCGCCGCCAATGCAAACGATTCGAGTATGCGGAACGTTATCCCAGGTCTCCTGAAACAACACTCTAAACTACAAGTGGCAGCTTTTAACGTCCGAACATTGTGCAAAACAGGACAACAGGCTTCCTTAGCTAGGACTTTAGAATCTCGCACCATCGATGTGTGCTGCGTCTCCGAAACGCGCATACAGGATCCGAGTAGCGTCATTCATTTGACCTCACCATGTCATAACAAAGAACCATCTCGATTCACACTTCGTTTATCTTAAAGCCCTGATGCTGCTCTCCGTGGCCTAGCTGGCGTAGTTATATTATTGAGTCCTAGGCAAGAACTAGCTATTTTAAATGAGATCACAGTAGATAGTCGTTTGTGCGCTGTTAGCAAAACTACCTCGGAAAAAGATGTTATATTATTCACTCTCAATCCAGGAAATTGGATCGATGGGAAGAATAATTTAGGGATCAGTTTAACTGGCCTTCAGCTACTCTTCGTTTCCCACGATCATCAGTCGACCTGAATGGCAAGTTAATGCAAATCCTCCAACTCTTTACGAAGTTGAAAAAGCTATAGGAATCAGTTTGACAAATAGAGTGTCTAAAATATTAGCTTCAATAATACTTCGACGTCTAGCTCGTGAAGAGCAGACTAGAGAAAATTAGGCTGGTTTTCTACCTGAACGTGGTTGTATAGACTAGACATTCACATTACGTCAGATCCTAGAACATTGACACACATTCAAACGCCCCACCATAGAAGAATTTCTTGACCTTAGGGCGTCATTTGATTCCGTTGATCCTGAGGTTCTATGGCAGTGTTTGTCACTGAAAGGAGTACCAAAGAAGTATATTAACCTTATAAAGACTAGCTACTCGAACACAACTGGTCGATTTAGAGCTTAGGGCAAACTGTCATCAGGATTGATTACCTCAAGTGGTGTTCTTCAGGGCTGTCAACTCTATCCATCCTTGTTTAACTTTGTCGTTGACATGTTTTTAGAGATAACACATTCATCAACTAAGTCTCCAAGAGTTGAACTTTTACCGGGAGACTCACTTAATGACTTGGAATACGCCGATGACAGTTCTATTTGGTGAAGATGCTGACAAAATGCATAGTCTTCTGACCACTATAAGCAACAATGAAGGCATGTTCGGGATGCGATTCTCCCCCTCATAGTGCAAAATGTTACTTCACGGTTGAGTTGCATCGGCACCTGAACTAATGATAGGGAGTGAGGCAGTGAAACTTCATCAGTTGAGATGGCTGGGACACGTGTTACGTATGCCAAACCACCGACTTCCCCGATGTGGGATGTTTTCTTTTGTAGGAGTAGGTTGGAACGACCGTGAGCAGTGGTGGGCAACGAAGGCAAAATAGATAGAAGGGGTAGTTGCTGTAGGTAACACTGGAAAACTTTTAAAAAGTCAAGTGTAAGTGAGACAATCTCGGAAAAAGACGACACTCTTATCTGCTCTCAGCCCAGACATTAAGAACGATGGGCGAAGCAGTTTAGTTGAGTTTCAGCTACTCTACAACTACCCACCATTCCCAAACAGCCTGAAAAGAACATTGAAGTGGGCCCCCACAGTTTTCGGTGAAGTTCAAAACGTTATACCGAATGTGAAACGAGGAAAAGCAGCTAGTCCGGATGGATTGGTTCCAAAGGTCGTTAGGGATGGTGGTCCTACCAGGATGTCCACTTATCGATTTATCTATCTATTGACTTGGAATACGGAGGTGAAGACATTGACAAAATGCTGAGTCTTCTGGTAGTACTGAGCAATCATGCCAGGATGTTTTGAATGCAGTACTACTTCGTCCTTAGACCTTGAGTTGCTGCTTTCAATCTTGTCGTTCTCCAATCGACCTGCCTTGCATGGTAGGACCTACAGGAACATATGTTCCAGGAAATCTATCTCGGTTGGGTCATCACGATAGGCAAGCCCGACCACCACGTCAAGGGCTTTAGATCTGGTTGTGGATGCATCGACTACATATTCACGAAATCTGCTTATAACTGAACAGAAATACTTGAGTAATCCACACATGATGCACATATATCAACTGAGACTGAATAATCGTAGACCTAAACACCAATGACATCTAAGCAAACATTGTGAGTGAATGAAAATTCACCCCATTATTTAAGCCACTGGCTATCTGGACTGTGTAGCTAAGTGAGTAACGCATTAGGTGCTTGAGTCAAGCACGCTGGATTCGAGCCTCGGAGTGAACAGAGACTCCGAGAAGCAGGTACATCCAGCTGATGATTCGTAAATAGAATGAGACGCGCGTTGTGGATTTTACGGCTAGTCACCTTTCTTTTTAATGATTATCATATAACAAGTAAATTATGTAAAAATAAAAAAGACAGAATACTAATTCGCCTGTCTTACCGTGACCAGGTGATGGGACAGGTTCACAGCTTAGTAAATTAAATGAAGCACCGACATTAACTGGTACACCAACGTGACCATCCATTTCTGTAACAGTTCGTAGAATTTCCACTTCACCTGAATTCAAATTATCCGGTATTGTAAATTCTGTCCGATAAACTGTGGCTTGTTTAAGCATTCCAAGTTTTATTTCAAATACAGGTTTATTTTTCAATTCTGACGGTAAGGTCGGCATTTCATCGATATCTCGATTTAATACGCGGACTTCGATATGATGACCTGAATCATCATCTTCACCGTAGATGCCTTTGTCCTCAGTAGTGATACAAAATTGATGTAACCCGTCTAGCTGACGCTCTTCAACATTAATTACTAAAGGTAGATCAGAAAAGCTAACTTTTCTTGCAACATGCAATGGATGGGGATTGGAAGAAATTGTGGTTGATAAATTACTACTAGATGAATGGTCTTCATTAACCATTTGATTCAAATGTACTATACGATGTTCTGAACCAAGACAAACTTCACTAGATTTGGATGACTTACGATTTGGGGAATTATTGGATAACTAGAAAAAAAATATTATGAAAATTATTGTTCACACAATACTTATTTTTAATCGAAAAATTCGGTTGAAATGTCTTTCTACTGATTACAAATATTTAAAGAATCAGTCAAAGATCTTATTTCTAACGCTAGGTGTAGACGCCCTGAGTTGAGAGGATTCGTGCAATGATGTTAATCTATAGCTGAAGACTTTGAAATATATTTTCTGCATAGTTAGTATCCCACTGTATTTTAATGTTACTGCTACTTCCGCATTACATTTTATTCATTTCCTCTGTAGATTGAAGAAATGGATTATAGCTAACAGTGGCGTTTCGTCTAACTGAGGAATCGTGAATTGGATGCACCTGGGTCATGAAGTGGATGTTTACATTAGGACTCAATCTCAGTGCATTTCGCTTCAAATACCAACGCATTATTCAGTGACCTACTGAGTCCAGATAGTTACTAGCTTATTAAACAGGTATGACTTTTATAAAATCCAAATACTGAATACTAATGGCAGAAATTTCCTTTGTTGTTATATGCTGATATGGGTAAACTGACCTGATGTGCACTTGTGCCAGATACTACAGTGTCACAGAATAATTGAATTAACCAAAACTTAATTTTCCTGAGTTCTACAGCTCATAAAACCCTAAAGCAATTATAAAATAACTAATATTGATAGATACGTATATAAATAATGGAATGTTATAAATCATGATACCACAGTGTAAGGAGGTCTCTAGTCATAATTAATCTATACCATTTAGTACTTTAGGTATAAGAAATTTTTGGAGACTAAAATTTTCGGATTACATCACGAACTGACTTGAGCTAGATTAACAATGGGAACCTAGGATCACCAGGCAGAGATTTCGTCCTAGAATGAGACTCCTTACAACATAGCCCACGCCCAGGAATCAATCCTAGGACTGTAATTTTCGTGTACAGATTCCCGAATCCCTAGACTACTGAGAGGTGGGTCCAATGGTGTCGATGTCTAACTTCAATCAATTCACGATATTGCGCAATACTTTCATTGAGATTTATTAGTATCTTCATATGACAAACAGACCACTACGAATGTGTCAAACGATAACTGGTATGGTCAGTTATGGAAGGGCTGAAGTGATTACAATTATTTCATGTCAAATAACTATGGAAAACTAACCAATGTGAATAAATGCGATTAAACATACGCATATGTATCTAGTTTTAATTCATATATTTATGTAACATGCCTAGTATGATACAATTTGACTGTCCAAACCGAAGTCCGACTGGATTCGAATCAGTGACCATATAATGACTGGAAATTGACTGACTAAACTATGAGACAATTATTCTATAGACAGTAAAGCAACTACACAAAAGCCGAGTTCGAATTCATGCGAATAGCCGTCTTCTCCAAAATAGTTGATACCCTGACCGTTTGACCAAACTGAGACGTTATAAATATACATGAATTGATGGTTAAAAGTTGTCTACTTTGATCATAAACCCACCGTGTTCCAATGAACGATTATAACAAAAGGAAAACCAGCGATTGTAGATCAAGGTGATGGTACAATAAACCTTTAACAGTCCTGTGTAAATACACCAGAAATATACAAAAAAATTTCCTAATATTATAACTCGTTCATTAAATGCTTGTACACTTGGAGTTGAGACATGTATTCCTAGTAGGAGGGTGTCAGTGTGATACTACTAAAGCTTGAATGCCTAAATAGCCATATTTTATTTGTCACTAATTAATACCATTTACACCTCTTCATGAGATAATAAATACCATAACATTAAAACAGTGATTCACACAGCCTAGAGAAAAAGAAATCAGAACAAAAGATTACGAGACACTATTTATTTATTTATTTAAAAGAAATTGTACAAAGTAAGCGGTAAAATATAGAATTGAATAACATTTCTAAAATACGAAAAAATGTGTATATATGGCGGGACATTTTCTGTGAAGGCTACTGATATCACCCAGTTATTTAAATCGAATTAGATGGAGAAGGGTTCCAAACAGAAACCTACCATGGTCGACAGTATTGTCCTAATCACCGAAACATTGAACAACCTATTATTGTACCAAGACAAATGATACTCACTAATCGTCTCAAAAGAAATAAATTAAACAAGATATTATTCCGAGACAAAGGTACAGCGCTTTAAATAATTAAGTTACTGGGGTCTACATGCAAAACTTCTAGGTGATCCATCAGTAATTAATCGAGATCCGAAATCGATTATGATTTTAATAACAAATTATATAACTGCACATTATGTAGTTGCTTCAGTTAGACAACCATTTTAAACCAGAAAGCATCGGAAAGTTATTTTCGCCTAGTAAAGGAGTCCTAGGCAGTGGATATCCACGATCCAGCAGGAAGTGAACCCAACACGTTTCAGGACTCGAGTGTAGTACCCATAATGGAGATAACTGACCTAGCGTCGAGTTCACATTCTTAAATCTAATTATACATAAGACTTGGAGTATTTATTCAAGCTACCATATATGATGTTATTCACATTTCACAAGATCTCCTCAAATAAATAGAAACTACAAGTGGAAATACGTGCAAGACCTAGCAATGACAGTGGAAAAAGCTGCAAGGGAAGGAGATATGAGACAACTATATGATAAAACGAAGAAACTGGTAGGGAAATATGGTAAAGCAGAGAGACCGGTCTAAGACAAAAAAGGCAAGTCAATCACCGAGATTCAGGAACAACAAGACAGGTGGGTAGAGCACTTTGAAGAACTCTTGAAAAGATTAGCCCCACTGAACTCACCAGACATCGAAGCTAAACACACAGACATTCCTATAGATCTCATTCCACAACGGTCGAAGAAATCAACGTGCCCATCAGACAAATCAAGAGTGCAGAAGCAGCACGACCTGATAATATACCACGTGAAGCACTGAAGTCAGACATAGAGGTAACTACAAACATGCTCCACGTTCTATTCAAGAAGATTTGGGAAGAGGAACAAGTACCAACGGACTGGAAAGAAGGATACTGTTATATATTGTGGCCGAGTGGATGCCTAGCTAATGTGTGACGTGATAAGACCTCCAATCAGGGAGCAGCGAAATATCGATGGGAACAGTGACACACGAAACCGTACGAGCAGTCTAGAGTGCTAACCGGTCCTGCGATCTGCCTAGCCCAGCCAGTTAAGTCCAAAACACCAATAACAGCCTCAGTGGTATCAATCATTATTCACAAACATACTGGGTTTACATACCAATCAAACAGATCACATCGTACCATAAAATGGGAAATAACATTTCTACAATATTTAGCCAAATGTGGCTGTGAATAGGGGGGAAAGTAATCAATAAACTGATGATAACTCAAGAATCGTATAATAATAGTTGAAAGGTCAAAATAAAGCTAATGATAAGAGGAACACGAATATGATTAGGTTAGCTACAATAGGAAATATACGTATTACGTCGGCCAATAACTCCGCCTGTAGCTCTTCTAGAGTTACTGCCGGTCACAAGCCCGGGTAAACGAGGAGGGTTGTGCATGGGGTTAGCGACCCCATCCCGTAGAAAAGCTAACTCGCTAAAAATCGCTAACCTTAAAAATTAATTCAATCCATTTAAACTCTGCGTTGGGAGTTGAAGGTATAATTATGATGTCTCATGATGAAAGCCGAAATTCTTCGGAAGTCACGAGACCAATGCACCTTCTAACAACCAGAGCAACACTCTTTATAGCAATGGAAATGAGGAGATACAACATGGCAGTACACGAAATCAGCGAAACCCATTGGACACAAACTGGACAGAAAAGGCTAGGTACAGGAGAAATGCTGCTGTACTCCGGTCACGAAGGGGAAAATGTTCCACACACTCAAGGAGTTGCTCTAATGCTGTCCAAAGAAGCATGAAATGCACTTGTGAGATGGGAATCTCATGGACCCAGGATAATCAAAGCATCATTCAGAACAAAGAAGCAAGGGACCACAATGAACGTTATCCAATGTTATACACCCACCAATGATAGCAACGACGATGATAAAGATCAGTTCTATGAAAGGCTGCAATCAATTATAGCAAAAGGTCCACGAAAGGACCTGACCATCCTGATGGGAGATCTAAATGCTAAAGTTGGAGTGGACAACACAGGATATGAAGGTTCAATACAACCTTCCTGCGAGATATTGACAAGCTCCATGAATTCAAGATAACTCTCAACAACAGGTTCCAAGCTCTACAGGATCTACTGAAAGAACAAGAAACTACTTTGGAGGACAACTGGAAAAGGATTAAAGAAGCACTAACTTCAACGTGTCAGGAGGCTCTTGGTACTAAGAGGCATCATCACAAGGAATGGATCTCTATGGGAACCCTGGACAAAATTCAAGAAAGGAAGAACAAGAAAACAGAAATTAACAACAGTCAAACACGAGCAGAGAAAGTTAAAGCACAAGCAGACTACGCAGAAGCAAACAAGCAAGTGAAGAAAAGCATTAAAGCTGACAAGCAGAAATACATGGGAGAACTAGCAACGACGACGGAAAAAGCTGTAAGAGAAGGGAATATGAGACAACTATATGATACAACGAAGAAATTGGCAGGGAGATATAGCAAACCAGAGAGAGACCAGACAAGGACAAAGAAGGAAAGACAATCACTGAGATCTGAGAGAACTACAGAGGCATCAGTTTGTTATCAGTACTAGGAAACGTTTCCAACAGTCTTGCTGAATAGGATGAAAGACGCAGTAGACGCCGAACTTAGGGATCATCAGGCTGGATTCCGTAAAAATCGGTCGTGCACAGACCAGATTGCGACACTACGGATCATCGTTGAACAATCAGTTGAGTGGAACTCATCACTATACGTCAACTTCATTGACTATGAGAAGGCGTTTGACAGTGTGGACAGGAGAACATTATGGAAACTTCTTCGACACTATGGAGTTCCTGAAAAAATTGTCAACATTATTCAAGACTCACACGATGGACTACAGTGCAAAGTCGTGCATGGAGGACAGTTGACAGATGCATTTTCAGTAAGGACCGGAGTCAGACAAGGCTGTCTACTCTCCCCCTTCCTCTTCCTTCTGGTGATTGACTGGATTATGAAGACTTCGACATCTGAGGGGAAAGACGGAATACAACGGACTTCTCAGAATCAATTAGATGATTTGGATTTCGCAGATGACCTATCCCTCCCCTCTCATACACACGAACAAATACAGATGAAGACAGCAAATGTAGCAGCAGTCTCTGCATCGATAGGCCTCCACATTCACAAAGGAAAAAGCAAAATTCTCAAATGCAACACGGAGAACACCAACCCAATCACACTTGATAGCGAAACTCTGGAAGAGGTGAAAACATTCAAGTACCTGGGGAGCATCGTTGATAGACAAGGAGGATCGGATGCAAATGTAAAGGCGAGGATTGGCAAAGCAAGGGCAGCATTTCTACAATTGCAGAACATATGGAACTCAAAACAACTCTCAACCAATTTCAAGGTCAGAATCTTTAATACGAACGTCATGACAGTCCTACTGTATGGAGCTGAAACGTGGAGAACTACTACGGCCATCATCAGGAAGGTACAAGTATTTATAAACAGTTGTCTATGCAAAATACTCAACATCCGTTGGCCGGATACTATCAGAAACAGTGTTTTATGGGAGAGAAAAAACCAGCTTCCAGTTGAAGAGGAAATTAGGAAAAGACGTTGGAAGTGGATCGGACATACATTAAGGAAATCACCAATGTGCATCACGACTCAATCCCTAACTTGGAATCCGGAAGGGAAGCGGAAAAGAGGAAGGTCAAAGAACACACTACGCCGGGAAATAGAAGCCGATATGAAAAGGCTGAATAGTAACTGGAAAGAACTGGAAAGGAAGGCTCAGGACAGAGTTGGATGGAGAATGCTGGTGAGCGGCCTATGCTCCTCCACAAGGGGTAACAGGCGTAAGTAACGTCGGTCAATAAATAGTCCTCAAAAATTACCATTCACAATTCTCTTCGGGATACAACAGATACCTCATCAAGATACCAAAGAAAGGGGACTTTAGCAAGTGTGAGAAATACAGAGATCTCACACTACTATCGGCACCAGGAAATGTTTTCAACAGTGTTGCCGTCGAACATTTAAGTAAATGGGATTCGTCACTATACATAAACTTCCTTGACTCAGAGAAGGCGTTGAAATTGAATGAAAACTTTAGACGACAGGGTTTTGAAAAAGTATCACGATTTATTTGTTCTAGAATTATCTTTTACAAATAAAGAGCCTTTGTTTTTCATAGACTGAATTTCAATTTTGATTCTGATGATATTAACTTTGGTTCATACAATGGGACTGTGGCAGTAGTATCATTTCTAGCCTTCATGCTTCAAATACTAATCAACGGTTATTATGTAAACCTGTACTTGCCAAATGATATCACCTACATAAGTAGATACGACTGTCCATAAAGTCCTTCAGTATATAACAAACAGTGCTTTCCACCGATTGTCTCCTACTAAAACAATAATAACGTCTACGAAAAGCACCATTGAATTATTAACCAGAACATTGTTCATCTCACCGTGTAATATTAATCAGTAGTCAAGAGATTAATCACTATTTATTGGAAAATTATCTACTAAAACAAATGAAATGCAATATTAAATGCACGAAAAGTACACTTTATAAAACAAAACAAGATAATGAGAGAGGAAACGTTAAACAAAAGACTACTAAAGCAATCATTTCGCCAAAAATCATTACCATAGTTTCAGCATAAACTATTGGGAAAATCACTTTTTTAAAAATGTTGAACCATAGGGTATAGACATGACGAAATATTTAAACGAGGAGCAAACGAATCACCATCTAAATATTACGAAAAGGTTGACAGCGGCGACAGGTTTATCAGAGTGGGATGATGATGTTTTATCCAAATGATTGAACAGGATGGATGCAGTAATCATTCACTGACGGGAACAATAATAATATACGCGAGAATTTATAATAATAATAACAATAAGAATCAATGTTGACTGGGGGAGGGCAAGGTTCGTTTAATTACCATGATCGCATCCGTTTCTAGGTTCAAAAGACTAAGAATGACAATCATCAGTGTAATGTTTAACTAATAATCATGCATGAGTGATACAGCCAAGGTAGAAAAACAACAGATTTGTAAGATAAGATGTTTTATGTGATGACATTTGGAGCTATTCGACCAGTGATTTTAGTTACACCGCATAATTCCAATGCTAATTCAATATGCGGTTTCAGATATTCCTTTATAAGAAAAAATTAAAATGAATGCAAGATGGTTTAAATCTTATCACCATTATTATGATTGGATACAACAAACAGCAATAATAAACAGTATTTGCAAAAAAATGTATGAAAAACTAACAGGTAAACGCTTAAAGATCAATACTACTATTACGAGTTAGAGTATCTAGAACAATAATAACATCGTACAGTTGAAAGGTTTTTATGAAGATTAATAGGATTTCACTTCAAAACCACAGTTCAGACATGTTGGGATTAAAAAGAGTTGCCATCGATAGCGCGGTGTTGCAAATTGATTGAATTCGAAATCGTATTATTGGGCACCGGCCTGGCGGGGTTATAACAGTTAGGCCTTTATTTCAAGAACTAAAGGTGTTGAGGTCCGGTTGCTGGTGGTGTTGTGGATGCACAACATTGGGGAGTTACATACTAGGAGGAAATTACTGTACAGCACTATACTAACGGAGATCAACCTGAGATAAATAAATAGTTGCATCAACTTGATTATAAACAGCTAAATCCACCATCAATCATCACCATGATGACGAGATATTCACCTACTGAAATGCACTTTTGGGTTACTGACAAGTCAACAATTGTTACTATATTCTTGAGTTTATATTGATTATATAGTACTGCTTATGTAATACTGTGGTGTGGTCTACTTATATCCATATAAGTAGTATATGGTGTTGGTCAGATATAGAATGTATTTTCGCAGAAGACCGATGGGGAAAGAACTGAAACAAAGCTCAATCGGTAGGAAAATGCACAAAAAATGGAATTAGAGAAGAAACAGTGAAGATTGAGACTGTTGGTTGTTAATTTGCAAATTAACTGTCCATTGTATGGTTTTCAGAATTTACTGAGATAGTCTGTAATTACTATAGTTGAAAGCGTGAGTCAATTGAAGCTAGACCACCATGGAAAACCTGAAAACACTGGACGGCCGTCCAGTGTTCTAGCTTCAATTGACTCACGCTTTCAACTATAGTAAATACTAAATCTCCACAGAAACCCCTTCTATGATTAATAGTCTGTAATGTTTGCTTAAATACATTCGATTGTCCCCAGTAATGTTCTGTTCACTACAATACTAGTATCCTTCATTACACCATCTGTTAAATGTAATAAAAGATAGTTATGCGTTGGGTTAACAGTTGTCAGCTCGTTGCAGCGCCCTGACTCATAATAGGATCTAGAACACGTACTATGAATACCAGGATGTAATTCAAGTAAAGGATTGAAAGCAAAGCTTACTTTAGAATGACTTTTAAAAAATATGGTTACTGTCGTTCAGGGAGTATCAGTAATCAACCTGTCTTGGCAGAGGGATATACGTAGGATACGACTAAGACATCTCGTAATTGTCAACTGTATATATAAGTTTGATCCTATTCAACTGTTTGTACATAGGACAGTTATTTGGATGTGCATCTGAGTAGCTCATTAGTATGTGGTGTGCACTAATCATATCGATATAAGTAGTATATAACGCTAGTCAAGAATAGAATGTCTGACAGCAGAAGGTCGAGAAGGAAACGACGGGAACAGAAAGCAATTGGCATGAAATTAACGAACAGTGAAGTCTGAGACGATTGATTGACATTTTGAAAGTTAAGTATTTACTGTATGATTCTCAGATCTTACTAAGAGATTCTGTAATTTTTTGTTCACATACATTCGATTGTCCCCACTTGTATTCTCGTTCACTACAGTATATTAGAGGATGAAATGTTACATCCATACAAAGCACAATAATGAATATCTGAGAGAAAAGCCTTCAAACTACATAAGAAACAAAAAATAGTGAGTATAGTTCAATATGCAGAGGTCATTAAGGCCAAGGTTTTCAGTCTGATCTTAGCATAGAAAAGAAGAGAACAGTGAATCCTATCCAGTAATATTAGTGAAAATAGATATCACAACATAATTTTACCTATTAAGTAGTTTATTTAAATCCCATAAATTATTCTCAATCACACGTATTATAACTAGTATTAGTAATAACAATGATCATAAGAATTGCAACACTGCTCCATTAATTTATATCATTGAGATTTTCACGCATAAATACGCACCAATCTCAATGATTCTGTCTAATTTTGGTTACTGATTGGTGTATAGTGGACTCCACTTATAAACGATTGAGGCTTTTTTTAATACGACGTAGCGAATGGAAGCTCATCGGTGGGGTCATGAATGTGCAACGATATTGAGTCCTATATTAGGACGAAATGACTGTCTACTGATTCTTGGTTTCAAATAGTTATCGAACACAAATCAGTCCGTGATAATGAACTATAAAAGTATACATAGCTAGATAGTGTGTATATTACCACAAATACTTTGATACACATGCAATATTGTGTAACATCATGAAAACACTTATAACTCCCTCTGAAAAAACTGACTAACCTGTGAAGCAATTGTATATTTAGCCGGATCTGATTCATAAGTGTCAACATACACTCGAAGTGTTGCACCACTACTGCCTGTACCACTTAAACGATACACAAATCGTGTTCCATCATTAAAAATGAAGCGAAAACCCTTTTTTCAAAAATAAAGAAAGGAAACGACAATAAGACCATGGAACTCATACAACATACGAGGGATCATGTTTGTTGAAGTGAGAATATGGAAACAAGGATTAATATGTGGAAAATGTCACATAAGCACCACATGAATGGAACGAGGAATAAGTGGTTAAGGCCCTTGACCTCTACCAATACGTCCCAAGTTTGAACTCTGCGCACCTACTTAGGTTTAGGCAACTGAATGGGATAAAGTAGCCCTCAAACTTAGAGTAATGACTGATACCCAAGTACCATATGAATGGGTTAATCAAATAATTATAGTTATAAAAGTGACGGACAAATCACGCATAATTTTGAACAAGTATTGAATAACTCTGAACTCCGCTACTTCAATCACTGTGTGGTGTATGCTACTTATGTCTGTCGACATAAGTAATATGTAACACCAATCAGACGTGGGATGCCTGGCAGCAAAAGGTTGGGAAGATATAATTGAACGGAAATTTGAACAGAGAGTACCTGTAATAACAATAGGAATGAAGGGATGATAAAGTTTGTAAGAGACAATTGGTGGAAGGTGTTCAAATGGAGTATTTAATGTATCGTTTTCGTATTTTACGAAAACATTTTGTAATTTTTTTATTAACAAATAAATTGATTTTTCTCACCTGTGTTTGCTCACTACAATCGTATACCATTACCAGTATCATTACCTCGTGGTAATGGTACGGTTAAACGATTCTAAGTCGTAACATCACAGACTGACTTTAGGGTAGACAATCAGTAGAAGCCAAGTGGGCTGGTTTGTGGATGGGCACTGCTAAGGGATTCCATGCTGAGACGAAACAGCTCACTAGTGTTGCCTGATTTTCAGTGATTTTCTAACCAAGATCAGTTCATGATGTAAAATAAGAAAACTAGGTAATAAACCATTTGTAAATCACTGGTCTGAAACCAATAAGCTCTATAAACAAATATCTTCTGAATTAGAATTTAAATATATATCCCAAAGCTTTATACTGTTTATGCTTAAATCATCATGAAGACCACAGAGAAAAAGTGACATGAAAGTTTTCAATAGGCAGATATGAAGTATTCATAGAGTAGGAATCTTTCAATACCTTTATATACCCTACGCCCCACTACTCTTACATATAGTGAGAGTGCAAATAATGTTAAGATAGTTCAGGTCAGTATAGTTACATTATTTGTAACGTGGGTATATGAAGATTGTTGTGACAGGCAGTGTCCGAAATCTGATACTGATACACGGTGTGCTATGCGCTGACCCCCAAAATGACTGCTCGGGAGCAAATACAGGATTGGGTGAAAAAGTATATTGAGCTACTGAATAAAACGTACAAGTACTCATTCATATATATAGTGGCATATATATGCCACTCTAACCCTTAAGAAATTGATCTATTTCTCAACCAATGAAGTGCACTTGACCTTTAGGTCACTTCTGACTGCCATTGATTGACCTTCTCATTGAGCTACCTCTGATTGGCTAGCCATTTCATAGATCCGATATTGCTTTGTGGAAGGGGGAGAATCATATATGCATTGAACAAGAGGGTAGATTATAGACGTCAGAAGGCTGTCAACTTTCTCAAATGAAGCTGAAAAACCCGACTGGAAGCTGGAACACGACCAGCCGAGATCCCAGTGGAAACGAAAGGAAATATCAACCCTTCGGACGGACCCTCTAAGTATTCAATTAAAATAGGGAAGTGGTGTGATAGGATGAAAGGACAAAATTACATTGTTTAGTAATTGTGATTCTAGTTCAACATTACCTCTTTTTAATTCAATATGATAATTACTCATTGTAATATTTGTTTTAATTTCAGTGTGATGATTATTCAAGATATGATATTCTTTTGCATTGAATTAAGGTGAACTATGTTCAGCATGAAACGCAGCATGGGATTATGTTAATTTCGTATATGTGACTTTTTTCTAATTAATGATCAAGTGGGTGGACAAATCAATGTATAAGTGATTGTATTTACGACTAGTGTAGTCAAGTTAATGTTCAGAGCATTCATGGAAATCTCGTATTCTAATTAAACAATATCTAGCTCAATAAACGTAAAATGTTACCGAAATTGTTTAACATTTTATTCACATCTAATATTTTGGTGACGGTGTCAATGTACATAAGTGAACAGATCATATACATTAGAAATTATAATTCTTTGAGAACTAAAAAAAGTTAAACAAATTTATATTCCCCCTCTCTTCCTACTTTGCATACACAAAGGATATAGATATATATATATCCCATACTCTTTGCGAAACTTGAAGTGGAGGTCACAGATTTGTATAGTTGGGAATTTCAAAGATCGAAAATGCAATCTATTTGCTGGAAATCAAATGATTTAAGAGCAAGGATACTGCTCGCTTGATCACTTCGCTACAAGCAATTACCTTTACTTAATCTGATCTCATAATGACACTAGAAGATCAATGAGATAAAAATTGAATTAAAAATCATATTATATTTATGTGAATTTATAATTTTACATACTTGATTTTTTGTGTGACTTCCATCAATTGGATCCACATATGAAAAGTCATCACAAAAATCACAAACGAACTGTCGTCCACTGAGAGTGGTATACACATGACCTGATATTCCATTATCGTCAATTAATTTCTTTAATTGATTCATAATTTCATCACCTTGACTTGATTCACAATTTTCATAATCATATCTACAACAATTATAAAAGAAAAAAATGTAACTCATTTCTTGACTGATATAGTTTGACTCTTCGATCATTAGTTTGCTTTGATTTTCTACATGCTTGTATTGATGAATTAGAAAGTTGGTTGTTATTTTTAAGTAAACAAAATATTTGTTCACACGTGGAGATATGCTACCTTGACATGGTAGTCGGACTTGGACATCGCAATAACTCAACCAAGTTATATTGGCTGGAACACTTGTTTCTTAGGCTTGACTGTAACGACTAGAGCAGTTACAGATGGGTCAGATTAGAACCATTAAACTGGAGGATAGCGAGCGAATTCGTACTTCCAACTACAAAAGAGTTTGGCTGCAGTAAGATGCTTCTCATAGGTAACCAAATTCTGTCGAGTTTCTCCCTTCCCAAAATGGAAAGCAATGATTACTGAAAGTCGAAATTTGAAAATAAGATATCTCACTTGCCCTACAAATTCCAGTCACTGTTTCAATATTACTAAGCAGTACTGAGTCAACACACAAAATAATGGTGTATGACTGGCCCGAAACAGTTATACTTATGGCTCTGTATTCACATAACCCGGTCTTCATGACTAGCCCTAATACAAACATCTGTTATATCACACAGGTAGAAGTATCCATCCATGATGTGGGCAGTCGAGAATTGACAACCACCTCATATCTTTGACAGCAGTCGATCGTAAGATTTGTTCAGTTCATGAAAGAACTGAGTTACTAAGGTTGCCCACTATCTTTACAACTCATTTTCACTTAGCTATTATGCGATGGAAGTGCTTCCAGGTTTTCTATGGTGGTCTAGCTTTAATTGACTCATGATTCCAACTATAAAATTACTAAAATCTCAACAAAAACCCCTTCTGATGGAAGAATAACTGTTACATTTTTTCAGTCTTTTCTGTAGAACCCTGAATCAGTGTTTTATACATACCTTCTTCATTTCTATCTTTCTGTATTTATTACTCTTGGTCTCCTGAGAATTCGTCATCATTTGAGGGTGATGACCACGGTGAAAATGTGAAGATGAGAGACAAACTTCAATAAAAAGACTGAGGAGAGTAACTGTTAAAGACTCTCATTACAGATACTTTGAATAACAGAGCCAGAATAGAACAAATGTATTAAGACAAAAGGTGATGTAATTTAAACGTTACTCTGAGCTCTGTGAAATTAGTTAGCGTATTTATTAGATAGACAGTACAGATCAACCGATTTTGTTGTGACAGGCAGTGTCCGGAATCTGATGTGAGATATTATATTTATATTAACCAGGACACATTAATATAAAGGGTTATAATTGGACTGTGATTTTATTTGGTATTTGACACATGATAAGTGTAATGTTTTAGTTTGATCGGACGAGTTAATAATTAAAAATCCCCGTTATGACTGACATTATGTTGTTTATTGAATACATTACATCCTGCTAATTTATAAAGTGTGATTTTCACCACAGATTTCAATTGAGGCCCAAAATTCGACATTCGGCATATATATATATATATATATATATATATATATATATATATATATATATATATGAAACATTCACTACAGATAGAAAATGACCTATATAATTGCGACTATTTAAACAGTCAACTGCAAATAAATAAACAGCCATTTTGTTTATTGAACAAATAAGGTTATGTGAAAATGCATGAAAATAAGTTTTATTCATCAACAAATTGTAATGAATAATCTGATGATTATTGTTATCAACATCGGATCGAATGTATGTACGCTTTTATCACGAAACTAAAAAACAAAGCCTTACAGATAGATATATTAAATCAAGGAAGCTTAATACATAATCATTGAAAATAAATATACCCATAGTTGAACACATGTGTGAAAGAACTAAGATGGACAATCATGTTGACTTATTGTTGGAGGCATACATTTAAGAGTTATGGCAAAAATATGAATTTAATTCGTAAGTTTTTGTAGCTTACCGCATATATTAAGAACTGAAATTGATCAGTCACCTTTGTGATAGGTGGATCCTAAATGGTATCGAAGCAGACCGCTCAGAATATACATATACCAAAAGTGACTGATGAATTTCAGTAGTTAGTATCAAGGGGAAGGTGTAAACATTCAATTCATTTCCGTTGCAAAAATAAGTGACCATATGGGCTAAGTAGCTCAAAAAATAACGCACCGGGCATTTAAGCTAAAGGTACTGTTTTCGCGTTCCGATGTGAACATCAACAATGTGATACAGGTACATCTAACTAATGAGTCCCAGGTGTGGAAAAATGCAGTGTTAGCTAGTGTCCAACATAATTAAAAAAATAAGAATCGTACAAATATTTGCATTATGAACTATTTTGTTATATTCAACAAAATTATTTATCTTCAATGGCTTAATTGACTAGAGATATTTTTCCAAGATATAACCATAGCAGAAAGACTGACTGTACAGATAAGCAAGATGATATGAACAATTCGAAACCTAACAACTGTACACCCAGTTGGTAGGTTGCTACACTTCATGTCAGAAGGAAGAGGAAATCAACTATTAGCGAAACTTTACACAAAATTGTGGAATAAGAATAGAATAACAGCGTATTGAATGTTTCAAGTACGAAGGAAAATGGTTCTGCAACCGACTAAACAGCACATGACTATAAGATCTAAAAATTCAGGGTGTGGCTTTGTAGGATAGCGCTGTTTTAATTCAACACCTATTATATTATGGTTCGTTCCCCAAGGAAGTATTTATAACCACTCTTAATCGACAGCAACCAACTTATCACATGATGTCTTGTTTACCCAAAGCTGCTCACTTGATAGTTTCATCATATCTAAACTATTTGATAGGGATTGTTGGTTAGATGCCTATAGCACCATGTTTGATTTAACTAGTCATATTTGACGGCTACATTAGAGAATACAAGGAGGGTGTAGCAGAACATAAGTTTATAACGTAATATCAAACCTCTGATTGAGGTTAACAACGGAGTCAAGCTGTACTGATAGATTTCCACACATGCCAAAACTTGAAACACTAACATACGATTGATATGCCAAGTTAGAGTACCGCCAAATAGTACACCGACATAATGATTTTGCATTTCTTCATTACAAAATGTACATCTGATGGTTTTAATTAAAACAAGAATAAATACTCTTTTAAAGTCATCTTGAACTTAACACCACAATGTCGTATGATAACCGTACATTAATGAGTACGTGAGTTATCCTCAAAGGTCTTGTTATAAAAGTTGAGTGAGAAATATGGCTGTCTGTAATTAAGACTGCTTTTACTGAGGCTTATATAAAATTGGCCCCTGAATGCTTTAGCACACTCGAGAGTGAAGCGAGTCTGTTCTCCCTCTCAAAATGCTCTCATACGGTCACCGACTTCTCGCGGCGAGTATTGTTTGTAAAATGTCCGGCTCTTATACCGAGTTAGTGAGTACGGAGGATCCATTTAGGGAGTTGGAAAACCCTGATTTTAAACCAAAAGTGACGGCGAAGTTGTAACAGTCGTCAGACGGGGTGAAGAATTTCAGTGCATTGAAAACACGAGGTAGGTAGAAAATTTGTTGATCCAACGAGAAGATACTTTGAGTTGTAGAATACTTCGCGACATGAAAAGTGATGACCGAAGGGTATGTAAACGTAATATGTAAATGCTTTGTAATTTCTTAAGATAATTAGTTATCCTTCCCTTGGTCTTGATCTAAACTACTATTGAAAGTAACCTACCTAGTGAAGAAATATCTTCCGTACTTCTTCCAATGTTCCATTACAACTGATTCGACATCAACTGGTAAACCAATTTGGCTACGTTTAGCCAAAATAGACAACCATGCGAGTAATGCCCATAAACCATCTTTTTCACGTATATGATCAGAACCAATGCCAAAACTTTCTTCACCGCATAAAGAGCATAATTTAGCATCCATTAAATTACCGAAAAATTTCCATCCTGTGGGAACTTCATAGCATTTCATTGATCGACTTTTACATACACTACAATACAATACATCCAAATACAAAGATGATATAAAACTAAACTCTGGTTTTCATTAATACTGGGAAAATTTATTCAGCAAAACAATACACAGACTATTATTTTTAATATTGCCACACAGTAGAACCCAACATGTGCACTACATCCCATATGGGACTCATCACATGGATGAGTCAGTATGAGAATCGAAACTAGTATCTATCATTTCAAATACCAACGAGTCATTATACGGTCACTAGTTTAAGTCACCGGACAGCGGGTATACTTGTAGTGTCTAGTACTATGTCAAGACTAAATGTGTTATTCTGGCTTCCAAACAGACCAGTTTATTCATTCTTCTTGAGTCCCGTTTTGATCTTGTCAATTATTCGATTACTAACCATGAGTGTTTTTATATAAGCGTATGTGTGCGTATTGCTTATTCTGCACATCACATGTCTGTAGCTTATTTTCGTCTGGCTATGAATATGAAGTCATACTTTATCAAAACCCTCTTTGTGATCTGTCAAGTTCTAATATTCTGAATTCTTCATGTCCCCTTCTTTTTTCTCTTTCCAAATTTATTTCACTGGATTATACACCTTGAATAACATCTTCAAACCCTAATCTCTCCGACTACTACTTATACGCTTACTACTTCTGCCACTATGGGATTTGAATCGACAGCTGCATCTCTGTGCTGTGTTATGGCAACCCGAACTGATGTACGTACATACGAAGTTCAACGTTGTGACTGACTGACTTATCAAAACGAGTTGGCTCACTCGTCTTCTCCGTTTCGTTTCGTTTTCCATCATTCCAATGACGATCTCTGCTTCGCATCGCTTTCCCATATATATGTACGTGCTTACAGTTTATTAACTGATTCGACTCTTGGTTCGGCTCTGTATTCTTTCGCTCACGCGCATTAGCTTATCTGCACGAATTCGCTTGGTGTGCCTGGGGCTTAGTGATCTGTACTATTCAATAATAAACTGTATTAGGCGCTTTATGCTCTCTTCTGAATTCCTACAACAATGAGGCTTATTAAGTGATGGTTATCAGGGCGATTAATGTACGAAGCCTTGGAAATTGTCTTGAAGTTAATACCCTTACATACATTTTTTGCTGTCAGGTAGTAGGAATTCATCAGCAGGAAGTTCATAATCCAAGTTTTTTTTACTTGCTGGGACTCATCAGTAAGGAGTACGAGCCTTATTGTCAACAACTACCCCTAAGCACGTAATGCTGAACTACCGAGCCGAGATAGCCGCGAAATTATTTACCGGGTATGAATGTATTATTAAGGTTCTCTAGTTCCGCGTTGTTGATATATACATCTACAACTGATAACTTTATTTGACATATGTGCATCTTAAGAGGATTGGCCTGATACGTCTCTCAGTCTTTCAGTACATCTAGTACATCCAACAACCGTGTCTCACCCTATTTAGGACTCTTCAGCTGGATGTCCCTGGCACATCCATATGTTGATATTGACGTCAAAGACCCCAACAAACCCAGAAGGTCCATCTTTTGAAACCGCTTGCATAGAGTCGATATAACCTACTTTACAGGCATAAGACAAACAAAACTTACAGATTAAGTGCCCTACTGGTAGGCATACTTCGTGCAAATCCATGAACACCATTCTCTTGAAAATATTTAATACAATCCGTATTATCTGCAATAACAGCTAATGAATCACATGGTGATACAAAAAACCCGTGTCGACCAATCAGCATATTTCGATCACCATCACCATCAAAAGCGGCTGCCATTGCAAGTGATGAATCAGTCACTATCATTTGGACAAGATCTGCGGCATAAGTCAAATTTGGATCAGGATGACCACCGCCGAAATCTTCTAATGGTTGAGATTTAATAGCTAACTCTGAATTTAATCCAAGTTGATTGCATAATATCTCATGAATGTAAGGTCCCATGACTATGTACGTACATATTGTATGAGAAAGAAGGGAAGATGTAAAAAAGGATTATTAAAATACATCAACTATCAATTATGTTCATTGAGAGGCAATGCAGTAACTTCATCCATAACAAAGTGGTCATTCCAACATTTATAGCCGAACCTATTTTTCAAGAAGGATGTGATACAGTGGATCAAACAAAAGACGCCAAGGGAAAAGCCCACGTTGAAGATTCTGACAGTTGCTTTTAGTCCCATATGCTCTTCAATTTTAGATATGCTGCCTTTGGTTTGCCGATTTGTGCATTAACATCTGTATCATATCATCCTTGTCTATCAATGATGTTGATTAAGTACGTGAAGGCTTCCATCTCTTCTAGAGCTTCTCCATCAAGTGTGATTGTGTTGGTGCTCTCTGTGTTGTATTTGAGGATTTCGCTTTTCCCTTGTGAATGTTGAGGTCTACTTATTCAGAGGTTAGTGCTACACTGGTTGTCTTCATCTGCATTTGTTGGTGTGTGCGGGATAGAACAGCTAGGTCATCTGCGAAGCCCAACTCGTCTAGTTACATCCGAGCTGTCCATTGTATTCCGTGCTTTAGAAGAAATGTGTTTTTATAATACGCATAGATAGCCTTCGATCATCAATTTTCATTTTGAGGTGTATCCTGAAATTTTCTCGTCCGGTCAACAAATGCTCTAACTACTTCGTGGTTTCGATGTACTAAAACTCTTCACCCCGCCTAACGACTGTGACAACTTCGACGCCACGTCCCGCTAATACTTATAAGCCATTTTAATAGTAGTATTCTCCACACAAATGTAGCATTTTAGAAACAAATTTAGTGAGATTTATGTATGAATAGAGGTGCTTATAATCACAATTGAATAGTAATGCATAATCCTGTTTGTTCTTCGCTTATACGAAGGCATAACTTATTCTGTAAAAATATGACAGATTATTATTGTATTTCAATGAATTGAAAACAGAATCATCCTATTTGTTTAGGAACTTCCGTCTAAATTAGGGCGCATAGTTTCACAGTATTTGGGCGCCGAGTTGATGTATGACATTGTATTTACTTTAAATTCATTCGCTGGTATTGTTGTTGTTCCTATTTAATGCCATCCTATTCGTTTTTATTTCCATGAATCTTTTATGAACTCTAAAATTACCACACAATTTATCTTGTCTGTCTCTGAACTCCACCCACCCTTTATGTTTCCTTGATTCTAACACCTAATAACCTCTGACCTTTTCTTGCATATATATATATATATATATATATATATATATATATATATATATAGTTAATATTATTATCCTTTACATTCACTTATGTGAATTGTTTCCCACTATTTTATTATCTCAATGCTAAGATTGTAATACATATTTGGTTGAAAGCAGCTGACGAGAAACCGCGAAATAAAGTGAATTCATATTATTCTGCATCAATATTTGTTCTAGCTTTATTTAATTTCATAAAGGAAACTAATTGCATGAAAGACAGAATTAGGCTTTCAAAAATCACGGTAGTACGATAGTGACGCAAAAAAAGATAGTCATGTTTATTCTTGTGTATATTGGGAAGAAAAGATAATTTAATCGATTAACTGGGAATATTGTTAAATTCATTTATTTGGTACGGATTAAAATGGTTAGAGTGAATAAAACCATTGTCTGGGCACCCGGGCATTATCATAGGGCACATCAAGTGACTTGTGTGGCGCATATCTATTTGGTGCCTAATAATAATAATAATAATAATAATAATAATAATAATAATAATAATAATAATAATAATAATAATAATAATAATAATAATATGTAGTCTACATCTATCAACATAGCTCAGTCCAATCGTCAATATCTTCGTGAACTGATACCATGTTTTGGTTTGGTCACCCCTAGCTTTCTTCCAACCTACTCCCATACCAGAAAACAAAGCCCGTCGAGATGGGCAGTGGCTGGGCATAGGTAACACAATTCCCAAACACTTCAATTGATGAGGATTTGCTAACCCCGGGATTGCTGACTCTATGACCCAAAAAATACACGAGCAATGCTTCTTTGACACCTATGATTTAATACTAGTAACCTATGTATATTCTCTACTTTTAATGGCCATGTTTCACATTCATTAATTAGAACGTAACGAACATCTGCGTAGTAAACTCGGCCTTTGGTCGTGAGACGGATATCTCGACTACACCACAAGTGATGCAAGTTGGCAAAAGCCAACCGAACCTTCTGAATCCGCTCCAGGACTTCGCCAGACACCAGACCATCAATACTGAGAAAAGTCCTATGATAAGTGAAGCGGTCGATGCATTCAACTACCTCACTCCCTATCACTAATTCAGGTGATGACACAAGTCAATCATGATGCAACATTTTTCACTGGGAGAGATAGAATAGAATCCCAAACATCCTTGCATTTTTACTTAAGATGGTCAGAATAGTCTGCATTTTGTTAGCGTCTTCACCAAACAAAACTATATAATCTGAGCATTTCTAAGTCAACAAGTGAATCTCCTGGTAGAAGATGAACCCCTGAAAATAAGACAATGGAAGTGTTATCTTTAAGAGCACGTCTATGACAAAGTTAATTAAAAATGGAGAAATCAGATAACCGTAACGAACACCACTTGAGGTAACCCATTCCGATGATAGTTCGCCGTAAGCTCTGACTCGACCAGAAGTGCTCGAGTAGAGAGCCTGTACAATGTCAATGTGCTACTTTGTTACGCTTTTCAATGACAGACACTGCAACAAAACCTCACGATCAACAGATTCGAACACCTTTAACTTCGTCTGAGCTGCAATCGATGGGAGAGTAAGCAAAGACAACGAAGAGGCAGCGGCGTGTGTCCTAGTCTTTTTGAGTTCTTACTGTCTTGCTTAGTCAAACACCGCACAAACAACTGTCTATTGAAATCCCGCCTAGGAGAGCATTTTCTGTTTTTGAACTTAAGGCTATACCTACACCAGTGAAGCCAATTGAGGTAGAAGTGGGGATTTCAGATGCACAAAAGGTAAATCGTACTGGTTCTTTACATTGACAAGCTGAGGTCAGAGAATGAATGTACTTGGACCCTGTGTGTGCTTCGAAGACCCAGCATACATCGGTGGCTAAATAAGTCTGCTGTCCTATCTGACACACAGTTGGAACATTAAGGCCTCCAAAATGTAGTTTAGACTGTGGTTTCAGGATACCAGGAATAGCATTTGATGAATTCAAATAATTAGCATTGGTAGTGCATGGTGATAAAGATGAATGAGAAAAATTATTGGTGAGGGAGGTACTCGATTGTCAAGAAGATGATCTCGAGTGCCGATAGTGGGATGAGGGCGGTTGTCACTTGCCGGCTGCCCACACTGTGAAGGTGGGAAGCACAAACCTTGATGAATTACACCTGACGTAAAAGTGAAGTACTCACTGCTAAATAATTTGCTCAAAAGTCAACTATGATAACAGTTTCAAGGAATGTCACTTTCAGTTAAGTACACATAATACCTGACGTTATGACACGTATAAGTACATGGGAAACATACAACCATGCATAATCTAAAAACTTTAATATTTCTAGGTATTTTGCTTCGTAAACTTTAATTCATTTGAGAATTAAACCGGAAATATGAATTAAAGAAATCTCGGGAAAATGTTTCCTCAAATTAATGAAAAGAGTTAAGTCACTGATTTCATTGTTGATAAGCTCACATGAAAAAAACGGAAACCAAGCCAACAACATGGTAAGCAAAGATGGGAAGATCCAAACAAACAATAATAAGTAAATTTCAAGCCAACAACAGTTGTAAGTGTTCACTATTATTTGATATCGAGACTCCTTTCCGACGTTTTAGGTAAGAGACCACATGACTAAATGAGAGTTTAACTATGTAGGGGGAAGTAAGACATATTTGTCGATAACATCACATTATTGTCACATACACAAACACAAATACATCCCGATGCCATGAATATGTAAGGCACTAGTGCTCTATGTAAGATCCAAAGACCCTGGATCTCATCTAATTGGGAGTCATATGTGACCCAAACCCAATGAGTCTCACAAACTCTCAGGTAGATAGTTAAGTTGAGAGGCTTCTATTTTCACTTTAAACGTCATAAGTATCAACTTCATATAAGGTTACAAACTAGGATAAGACATTTGTTCAGTGATCTTTTCTTTCAATGGCTCTCCAGCTTAGTACAGTGTCTACGGTGACGAATATCTAATAACAGTAACAGTAATAATAGTAATTAAATTCATTTGGTATTGTTTGTTTGAATCTTCCCATCGATGTGTTAGGACTGCAACTGGTCAGTCTCTAATTGGCATATGTGCATACTGTGCGTATTGTCTCGATATTGCCTTAATTCACAAGCATGGTAGGCAGAGATGGATAGTGGCTAGGGTGAAACGCGCGTCCTGGATTCCACTGCTAGCCACTATCCATCTCTGCTTACCATGCTTGTGAATTAAGGCAATATCGAGACAATACGCACAGTATGCACATATGCCAATTAGAGACTGACCAGTTGCAGTCCTAACACATCGATGGGAAGATTCAAACAAACAATACTAAATGAATTTAAAAACTTCACCCCATCGCACAAGCAAGTGGCTATCGAGACTCAGTGGCCGAGTGGATAACGCGATGGCGTTTGAAGCGAGCGTACTGGGTTCGAGTCCCAGAGTGAACATCAACTCTGGGATGCAGGTACATCCAGCTGACGAGTCCCAAATAGGACGAAACGCGCGTTCTGGATTTCACTGCTAGCCACTATTCATCACTGCTTACCAATAATAGTAATTGTTATTATTATCATAAATAATAAACTCTCTCACCTCCATTAAGACCACTGACAAGCAATTTAAATGGTTCACGCTCATCTGAACCAATCAGTAGTGTTTTAATAGCATCAAAATCGAACAATGTACGCATGTAATCGGCATAATCAGAAACACTGCTTATGATCGTTACCTAACCGTGAATAAGAAAAAACAAAATGTTTGCTTTCGAAAAATTTCCAAAAATAACAGACACTTAACTGATGTTAAAATATATTCATAAATATTAATAGGGGAATGATCAACATAAACAAATATTCAGTATACGGAAATTGGTGGAGATTGAAGAATTTTCATAGTTTAAATCATTAACTGAACTTAGCTAAACCATCATTGAAAAACTGGGAGCATTGGGTGGCGATTTTGTCCTAGTGAGACTTCCCAGTGAGCATTCATGACCCTGCATCGTGGTCTAGCTAAGATTAGTTCATGATGTAGAGAGTATAAAAAAATTCTATAATCACCAAAAAAAGCCTACGTTGTTAATAATTACCAGAGATTAGCTTAAACATACGAATACTAGTATTCAATGGTGGTATAGATCAGTTTACAATTTAAGCTATGGTGAATAAATTTGTGAAAACTGTTTTTTTTTCAAAACCCTAGCAAACATTTAATACATCCCAACGTTAATTGTAACTTTTAGCGGGTTATGAGTATACCGAACTGGCGAAAAACTCATCATTTCTTCCAACCGTCCACATTAACATGTTAGGATATTCACAGGAATATCCCAAAAATTATCTCGAAACGTAAAGCGGGATGTTTTCAGACTCTTCACATATTTCACGTGTTAATTCCTATTGGTCATTATTTACAGTTGTCCTAACTGTAACTTTCACGTGTCGTCTTCCTCTTGGTCAATTTTGAGTTGTCCTAATTATAACCTATACGTGTCCTTCCTTTCCATTGGTTACTGTTCATAGTCATCTTAACTGTATAAATATGCCTTGTCTGTAAATCATTTTCGATCTGCTTCTGAACCCATAAACAATTCTTATTTAACGGCTGCGTTCTGATTTACTGGAGGTTGGGGAACAGTATTGGGGTCGTACTAGGATATCTGAATTTTGTAAATCGGTAGAAATTCGTGTAGTCCTATCGCAATACGTAATATTTAGCAACGCAATATTTCGCGATGTAACATAACACTAGCTAGCAAAAAATACTACAGCATAGTTTTGCATGTAGGCAATATAAGGATGGAAATTCGAATGTGATGACGTGGAAATGTTGAACAGAGGCAATATAAAGAGTCAGATTTCCAGAGGTTTAACACTTTAATTACGCATCAATCAATAGCAATATATCGAGATCGACCCGATTGATCAGTTAGTAAGAAAAAGGATAAACAACTTCAAGGTCAGAGATGAGGTCAAGGGTGACAGTGTCCAACATAAACATGTAAACGACGGTTACACAATTAAGGGACAAGAACCAACCAAATTCTCGCAGGTAAACAGAACAAACTGTCAGCCAGTTGTGAAGAAATTTTAATGGTTCATTAATCTTTTACAATATTTGTTGGTGTTGTCTAAAAGAAACAATGAAACCTTCACGAGTAAATCATCCAACTCAGGGAATATAACACCTACAAACTATATTTCTAAGTTTAGTGTTTGTTTTTACGTTTTACACAGCTTTGTGTGGGAGTTAGTGTTACTCCACAGTTGATCAGTATCTAATTAGCTATAAAACAAAATTAGGACCTCCGATTTAAGTGGTTGAAAGTTGGATCCCGTTAACTAGCAAGTATTCCTCCAAAATCCACTGAATAGTATATACAAAGTCCATGTTTTGTTCATATATCCTCCGCTTACTTACTAAGATGGAGCCTCAAGGAGTTCAGAGATAAATGAACTGACAGGATAATTAAACGTTTGTTAATCAAAGCAAGACTGAATGTTATTGCAATTCAAATTTAAAAAATACGAAACATTTATGATGATATGCAAAGTCCTCATTGCAAAACGCGTATAGAATAGGAGTGAAATTGAATCAAACAACCAATAAACTAGCAGGAATAAAGCAGAAGTTTGATAACTAGCTGAAGCCAAACTTACCGAAAAGTAGTTATGGTAGCAGTCGATAAACACAAACGGACTACATAAAAACGTCTGAAACATAGTATTGTATACTACGAAACAATTAACTACTTACTATGGAAGTTTGACCATTAGATAAAGTATATTTCTTTGAACCAATACAGTTTAACTGAATATTTAATGGTTCTTTGACAGTTTTATAGGAAGTCAACTTTTCACTTTGTGCAAAAATAGCATCCGTTAATTTCTCTGGTGCTGGTCCACCATTCCCACAATTGTACTTAATACCAAAGTCTGCATTTAGTCCACCAGGATTATGACTGGCTGTTAGAAGAATTCCACCATTCAACTGATGCTTACGAATTATGAATGATGCAGCTGGAGTGGACAGGATTCCATTTTGACCAACAAACAATTCAGATACCTAAATATCATACAGAAGAAAGGTGGGTGAAATAAACTATGCATTATCTATTAGTCATGGGTCTAAGCGGTTACTCAATTTACAAGTGAACATACAAAACCAGTGAATTTAGAGACAAGGCTAAAATAGTGTGTTCATCATGAACAGAATATGATTGATATTAAAATTCCAAACAAAGATAAATTCATTTATTTAATTCCACTAATCAAAAATTATACAAGTCTACGGTTATCAAAAAGAAAAAGAAACACACCCCATTTGCTAAGCATATTGGAATAATGATACTTTCTAATGATTCTCGTACAAAATAGCGACCGTCCCCTCCTAAAAGAAGTCGAACTGGTTGAGATTTGTTCAACAATTCACCAACAGCTGCATTTAAAATAGATTGTATGAAGTTCTCAGTGTACCCATGTTGCATAAAAGTTTTCGTTGGTTTACGTAAACCACTTGTACCTGGTTTCTGGCCAGGAAACGATTTGGTCGGCTTTATATCGACTGTCAACATTTGAGACATAATCTATAAATTGTTTAAAAAAACGGGAAAGTATCAGTAAAGATATGAGAAGTGACGTAGCTGACGGTGCAATTATCATGGAAGTCTCATCAGCCTTGGGGGGTTGGAATTTGATGGAATCCCGACACGAACACAGAGCTGGGTTGTCTTTAGTCAACTTGCGTTACTTGTGGAATATATAAGATATCAATATGTCAACTAAGTGACGAGTTTACTTCGATGAAGTGAGCTCCAGTCAAATTTATAGCAGTGAAACGTATTTATTAATTTATCTGAACACATAAATATTGGTAAAAAGGGGCACCAGATATATATGTGCCACACAAGTTACTTGATTTGTATGTGGGCTATGATAATGCCCGGGTGCCCAGACCAAAGCAGGTGGTATTCTTAGGGAGTCACACTCGGAGCCCTTGACGTAAAGGTCTGATCCACAAAGCAGTGGATCAACATCAGGAGATGCAGACCCTGGTAACCAGTGCCCAACAATTGGTTCATACGACACTTGTTCCTTCAGGATACTGGAGCCCATGTGCACCATTGGTTAGGAATCCGGGTTTTACAACTCCTCTAGGTGGATCCTCCATATCCACCAGCCCGGTTAAAGAGCCGGACATTCGCTTTTCGACCTCTCAATTTCGTAAACAACATCCCTGTCACGAGAAGGCAGTGGTTGTATGCACGTGGCCATGTGATAGCATTTTGAGAGGAAGAGCTGACTCTCCCATACTTTAGCCACACCAAGGCATTTGGGGACCATCAAAAACAAAGAATATTAGTCAGTTAGTGGTATTCGACCACAGATGTCTTTGAAGCACTGGTTGCGCATTTCAAGATAGTGGATTCAGCAGTAGTGAGGTTAAACGCAAAGTAAACCGATTAGAGAGGTATAAAATCATTGTTGACTGAGATGGTTAGGACATGTTATTACATATGCCCATTCAAAAAATACGTTGACGATGATCGATGGTGCAAGAGTAGGTTGGAAGGAAGCTAAAGGCAGCCAAAACATTCCATGAAGACATTGATTATTGGAATGAATCATGTAGGTACGTGCAGACTACTTGGTTGGGGTCCGCACGATCATCACAACCGATGGTTAGGAGTCTTTAGACGACATGGCTCAAAATCGCTCGCCATGGCCCACATGCCCCCAAATGCCCTGGTACGGCCGAGAGTGGAGAGAGTCTGCTCTCCCTCTCAAAATACTCTCACATGGCCAGCGAATATATAGCATCTGCCAGGGAAGTCTTACTCACTGCTTTCGCGTGGCGGGGGTGTTGTTTACGAAAGTGAGAGGACGAAAAGCGAATGTCCGGCGCCTTAACCGGGTTGGTGGACACGAATAGTCTACCTAGGAGAGTTGGAAAACCCTGATTCCAAACTAATGGTGCACATGGGCTCCAGTATCCTGAGGGAACAAATGGCGTACGAATCAATCGTTGATCACCGGCTACCATGGGACTGCATCTCCTCACGATGCTCCACTGCCTTGTGGATCAGATCTTTCGGTCAAAGGCCCCGGTTGTGGCCCATTAAGAAAACCACCTGCTTCAGTTTGGGCACCTGGGCAGTATCACAGCCCTCACACAAATCGAATGAGATTTGTGAGGCACATATGTATCTGACTCAAAAGATGGGATTTAGATGCAGCTGCCGCTCGTGTACGTCAAATACCACCTTATCTCCCACTAAATCCTAAGCCTTTAAATTCCCCGTAATTTTCTTATTTATATTTTATTAATTTATACTTCCTAAAATCGCATCTTCGATGCCTAATCTTTCTTATAAACATCTTACTTACTTACCTAATGCTCGGGTTATCATTACCTCTACTACTCTGTGATTTGTCCCGATAATTTTATATCGCTATGCTAATGGGATGCGGCTACTTGAACCGATGTATAGGTGTCAGATCTAAAGTTGCGTTTGAGTGACCGATCAGTATAATGGACGGACACGAGAAAATATCTTGAACTGTGGCTGAACTTGGGACACATACATGATAGTTGAGGAAATGTTGTAGTCTGCACAAGGTCTACAAGTCATTAATTACTCGCAATTACAAATACATGAACTTCTTAGTAGTTTCATTTGTTGTAGCCGCTTAATTGTCAAGTCTTCTCTAAAATTCTCTGTGAACCGATCGTACATGAGCATCAGGTACTGAGATTGGCCCCGTGACCTTGAAATCCCTCAAACGAGTCTGATTGGCTCGTCCAATCTGATAGTCTCGCCAAACTACGAAATCCAACAATCCATACAGCTCCTTTATAATAAAACTCCAGGATTGTTACATTTCTTAGTTTAGGAAGAATAACTTGGAACAGTGCTATCAAATGAACACTATCGTAAAATGAATATATGGTAAAGTATGGGCTACCTCCAATATCAGAAAGTTTAGGCACATCCCTATTTTGCACAGTTTGCTTGGGTTGTGCATGCACTTTCATGACAAAAGCTGTAAATACGACACCAAATTATAACCGAATTTCTTCATATAAAAATTATCCGAACAAGTGTACAAGTTGACATACTCGCTAAATTACCCGTCAAATATACATGGAATACGGTGATCACGAGTATAGTTTATTGGGATGTGAAAATAACAGACTTCAACTATTTATCAAGAGATATTAATTTTACAACAACATCTAAATTGTATAAATAACGGCCTGTAACAGAACTCTGATAATCTGAATTGAATTCACACGTCAAATTTATAGACCATGGGTATCGCGACTGATTTTACACCCCTTTCGTATGATAATGACTCTAAATACCGTAGTCTAACATATATTTACTTTTCAAACTGTAAGATACATATATAAATAATATCCAGGGCAATAAAGAACATAACAATGATGACTTTTCAGTGATCAGTCAACATGAATATCTCAATCGCAGCCTCAATACCACAGTATTGACGTCTCAAACAATAGAACTGGATCTCGATGGGTTCGAATTTCACAAGGAGTATTGGTTGCCACAGAATTGTGGATGCGCCTTATTGACGAGAGATGACTAGTACGAAACACCCAATCGCCTAAATTCTATACATAAAGCGAACGATGCCCAGTCACTTTAGACTACTGCTACTGACCGGCACACATAGCAACTTGATCGATAGAATTCTATCAGAACAAGACAAACATAACATTGATAAACCCCATTCTAGATTTGTATCACAATTCACTAGAAAAATACATAGCAAACACTGTGCCATAACCTAGATCGGTACAGTGCAGTGAGTGTAGAACGGTTGTCCAGCGGTTGAGGCAGAACCCAACACCAACATACTTTGGTTTTTATCAACCAGAGGTAGTATTGATAGCCCCACACACTCAAAGTTAAATATACTATTCCGTATCTGGTAAATGGGTGAATAAATGGATAAATACATATATCACAGTAACAGAACTCAATGAATCAACCAATCCACCAACCCGTCAAACCACATGACAAGAATAGATTTAACTCATAATCAATAACACACATAAAAAAGAACCAGACAAAAACTCACAAAACAAAGAGAGGGGAAGAGAAAAAATCAAAACAAAAGATTAATGTAGCATATAATTTATGCATAGGTTCGTTAAACATGAATATATTCCCCCTGTTTTTCACTATGTACAACAAAAAATTGAACGATTTCTCTCGCGCGCGATTGTTTATTTCTTTGGTAATGATTTACTAGCGCCAATATTAGCCAACGAGTCTGCTTCTTCATTACCGTGTACGCCACGATGACTACGGACATGGTACTGAATGAGAATAGAGAAAATACGAATTGGGAAACAAAAGGAGAACAAATGAAATAACACGAAACATTTGGGGTGCATACTAGATATAAAGTGGGTAGAAGTTTTCTAATTACATATATATATATATATATATATATATATACTCGCCCATTCCAATTGCATATAATTTTTTCATAGAGGACAGTTTGATGAATAAGCGAAGTTTAACATAATAAAAATGAACTGAAATAGAATGTCGGTCGGCACATTGAAATGCAATGGTGTAATATGGCCGAGCAATGATTATTAAAAACATAGAATTGTTGATTTAATACCCTTTAACGAGTTGATATATGAAGACAAGGATTTGAAATATAAGAGATGATGAAATGGATACATATTGGCTGTTGTCGAACCGTAAAAATGTTAAGAAAACTATATCGTCAGATTTAAGACTCACGCTTGTAAATACTATGATTTTGACTTCTTACTCACTACTTTAATCCTTCGTTTAGACGGTTGGAGGAAGTTGATAAGAAACTCTGCTCGACATAGGTTCCATGCTATTCGGCAGTAGTTAGTAAGATGTACGCGTAGTTTTGGGAAACTGGTGTCCCTGGTGGATTTTATCGAGAATCATCTAGCTTCAGAGGCCAGAAAAGCTCAGTGGTAACTCCTCAGATTGTGAATCTGGGTGGCGTGGGTTTGAGTTCCAGAAGGAGCATTATTTTCCTGAAGAGAAAAAGTACATTTTGCTGATGAGTCCCAGCTAACACGGAACCCACGTCCAGAGTTTGCTGGGGTCTAATTACAACCGATTAACACTTAAAAATAGCGTAGGCGATATCGAGTCACTCAGATTAGTGGCCAAAATGTAACTTGATTGATAGGAGTTGATCAGCATTGAAAAGGAATTGAAATATATGACATCGATCACTACTCAGTGGTCATCCAATTGTAAATAATAAGTTTGTTTGTTCACAACCATCCAGACTATGTCAAATAGTGGAAAAGATGTGAATACGGAATGGGAATTTAAAACAGAGTATTGTGCATACGTTTTTTGTTAACATATTTACGATAGAATATTTCAATGAGATTCTATTTGGTCCTTTTGAATGATACATTATGAAATATTATGTGACGAAATTAACTCTACTGACCAATCAATCAATTACCAACAATATATGACTGGCTTTACATGTAAGTAATCAACATTGCTTAGATATTTAAAAGAAACAAGCATTGTCACATTGAATATGATCAATAGTTAACCAGATACACATGATTAATACATTTTTGTGGAGCGTTCATATATATTACGAGTTTTATACGTCATAACAATTGGCGACGGGTGAAAAAAAAATGGCTCTAACTTCCAACCAATTTCAGTTGCTAATCCAGCAACTAGAACAGCTCGTTAGAAAGAGTCAATTGGAATTCATTGACAAGTTACACGCAAAGCTGCTGAATCACCCATGCTTTGGGGGTGAAACGGAAGTTGACGCAATAATTTCAAAATTGCGTACAGAGCTGGAAAACGATTACAGAACTAATGAATATGCCGGCGAAAGCCTCAATGAATCCGTACAAAGCAATAATTTAAGCGCAGCAGTTATACATGATCAGCCCAGTAGCCCAGTACTACCTTTTTCAGAGACATTCCCTGTACACGGTCCAAGTCTTATTAACCCTGAAACAAAACGTGCGAACAATGAATCGTCCAGTTCACAGAGAGACAATATCTTATTAAGCGCCATTAAAATTGCTGCAGTACCCGCCCATGAAGAAATGGGAAACAAACCGAGCAGTATAGTGAATACAGTGGCGCCAAATCAAACCAGTCATGATGCAAAAAGTTTTTCTAATGAATCTAATGATCAAGGTTATCTAATTGTTCTGCCAGATCCCGATTATTTTGCTGATTCATATGTTCCTGTTCAAATCTCTTATAAAAATGGGAGAAAAATATCGGATGCATTAAATGATAATCAAGAATCCAATACAAGTTTCATAGATACTGATTATCCTAATGATTCATTATCTACTAATGAGGTTCCGAGTAAATTCAAGCAAACTGTTTCAGAAGAATCAGACGCTGGTGACCTCAAATCGAATGTCGTCGTTCCTCACGATCTAATCAGTTCTGGCGGATTCTCTGTTAAATACGACGAATATGTTTTAAATAATGTCACAACAATGGTAACTTGGGTACATGAGGATCCAACAGTCTTTCGTGGGGGGGGATGAATTCGAGAAATTTAAAATCCGGATGTCAACTCCGTATTTCTCAAAAAGGGGAGGTGTTATATCCCCTGGTGAATTATGAATGGTAACTCTAAGGTCTATTTATCGACCAATGTATTATGCCTATTTCTTATTGTACAGTTGTTACGTAACTAAATTATTCATATTCGTTTTCTCTTATCATGAGCTTTATTTTGATCTTTGATTTATGATCATACGATTCTTGAGTTATAATCAGTTTATTGATTACTTTGGTTTGTATAAAAACCCAGTATGTTTGTAAATAATGATTCGTATTGCCGAGGCTGTTATTTGTGTTCTGGATTCAACTGGCTGGGCTAGGCAGATAGCAGGACCGGTTAGCACTCTAGGCTGCTCGTACAATTTCAAGTATCATTTGCTTCCGATCAATAAATCCACTACCTCTCCAATTGCACGTTCATATATATTACGAGTTTTATACGTCATAACATGGTGATTTAGTGATTATAAATCCTTCAGCTTCCAATCAATAACAAGTTCAAAATTCTAATTCTATTTCACATACTTTGATTTGAAAAGTTAAGTAGTAGCATAACTACTCTTCACATACTGTTGGCAGGATAAGGTTGTGACTACTGTCAGTTGATTTCGGGTTTGAATCGGTATAGTTTGATTAATCCGTTTTCAACTAATCAGCATTAGTGTAAGAATCGAGATGCTACAAAATTCTTATGAAAACTCTATGTCAAGTTCGATGTTTTTACAACTGCACAACGGTTATTTTAGTTTATTCATATATATATATATATATATATATATATATATATATATATATATATATATATATATATATATATATACATATACATAATGTGGCTGAAAGCCAAACTATACAGATCTGTACTAAGAAAATGAATTAGTAGTTCAACTATTCGCAATAATAGAAGTACGTTTGAAATACAATAAATAATGGAGGCTGGATGTTAATTCCTAGCTTGGATTCAAGGGATAAGATAGAGAAGGGGCTTACACTTAGCGAACCAATAGGAGCTTAGTTTGCCTCGCCTCAACGTTAATGGTGCAGGTCAGACATGTGATTGGTCAAGTCTGTGGCATTAGATTATAGAAGAAATAATAGACGTGGAATAGATAGACTATAATTAGGACTTTGATTAGTGACTTTAACATGTAGTATGTGTTTGTATCACAAGGCATAACAGCCTTTAGAGCTAACTTCGTGATGTGTTGGTGAGGTGAGGGGCCATGAGAATTTTCAAGCTTAGTATTGAAGTCCTCACTTTATCGACACGAGTCACCTATGAAGTGCGTACCTCAATCAATTACTTTTGTTTTAATTGACTTGTCGATTGTTTATTTTTGTAGTTAACGTTTCATCTGTTATCGTTTTATTTCATTTTATAGATTTATTCTGTACTGAGTAGCTATTTGTCTTTATTTAGAAGTTTATCATAATAATTCAATTCTTTGAGCACGCATCGCTGCAGCATATCACCGACTGATCAACATTTCATCAACTTCATTTTAACAATACTCAAAGCTATGTACCTTTTACAAAATATTAATTCATAACATTTACAAAACTGACTGATAAAAACAGGTAAGCTATAAACAATCTAGGAAACTGAAAAGAGTTGTTTGTTGTAGTTCAGACTATCCAAAAATCAACATCAGTACAAAGAGGAAATCGAAAGGCATGGTAAAAAAATTTAAATCATCAAGGAAAATATGTATGAAACTGAGATGAAGATGGAAAACAATAAGATGTTGAAAATCTAGAGGAGGGTTAATATTTAATGGGTTGAGTCAATGTGATCCATCTTAGAGCAGTCTAACCAGGAGGCTTACATGATCTATACATAATTCAGATTAGCATTTGGTGACGTTTTCTGTTAACCTTTATATGCTTTTGAAAACCTAAACCTTCTCCAATCAACATTGTTTATCGAGAAAGTAGTGAGCGAGTGAGTGAGTAACAAGTCTCTCCCTATCACACTTCAGTCGGTCCGCATCTACTGACTTGTTTATCATATATACTCTAAACTTTTGCATTATTTACTTGGTATTTTAACGGCACACACAAAAATTTGCATTGAAGGTACCTCTACAAACGTGGATTTGTATGACTTAGTTTTTACACCTTTGGTGATAGTGTTTCGAATAATAAGACTGTGAAAAAGTGGACTGTTTTGCAAGACACTTGCGTATTTTGATAGACAATTTGAATATCTCGCCCTGGTGTACTTTGTAAAAGCGTGAACAAAATATTTGATGAGAATAACCGTAACAATAGCAAAAAATCGAAGAAATAATGTTTAATCGGAAAGCGGTAAGACTAAAAGTAGGAAACTCCAGGTCAGAGCGCGGATTTGTGTTGCTGACAATATAGGGGTGTCACAGTAGTAAGGTGTTTTCCTTAGATAACCAACAGATACAGATGTGTTGCCTTCTCGCAATGGAAAGAAAGAATTACAAAATATCGGCCCTAAAAGCAATACACTACACCTTACTAAATTGATCCCGTCGTCGAAGGTAAGGCTTTGAAAGTACGAGGCTGACACATCAAGGACTACTTATATAACACGCAAGTGACCTGCCCTTAAGTAATTGTATCTCGGTGTCCGTAGTCACTTTCACAGGTCTCTAAAACCACTACCAATCTAATTTCCTCAAGAAGTATCCATTCATGGTGTGAGCAATTTAGAAATGAAAAACTTCAACATACAGTACTCGAGATCACCTTTTTAGCTACCAAATCCAATCACCAATCATTGTAAAAATTTTATTGTGGCTTGAACAGCTGACCGTTAAAATAATTGACTGTTAAGCAAAATTCAAATTTTGGTAGGAGCATAGATTTCTTTAGCAGTGCGAACGCCTAGATGATAAGTCCCAATACGTAAAGAACATAGTGTTTTCAACTGATTGTCTTTGAACACTAAATACATCAGTAAGTAAATCATCGTGAACATAGAACTTGGAAAGTATGCACGTTAGCCTATAGTGGACTATCTTCGAGATAATTCCTTAGGCTTCGCATATCAATCGTCCTGATAACCGTTATTAAATAAATCCCAACAATGTACTAATTTAAGAAGACAACACGAAGCGCCGACCACAGTTTACCATTGAATAGAACAGTTCATTGAGCCACAAGTACATCAAGCGAATTCGAACAGAAATGCTAATGCGAGCGAATGCCCAGGCAAATAAAGAATCAAATAAATCAGTAAGACTCAAGCATATATATAAGGGAAAGTGAATGATGCATTGAGCGATTTAAGCAACTAACATTTAAGCTAGAAAGAGAGATATGTACGTAGGTTGTCACATGCGATCAACGATATACGTTCACACAGACATAATAATAATAATAATACCAAAATATCAAACTGTCATTGTTCGAATAGCACTATCTGTTATTTAAGTTAATTGAAGGGCTTGACAAAACTAAACGTAAACAAAAGTATAACAGAGGCGCTATAAGCCCCAATGTCAATGCCATGATGAGTATCTGAAATGGAAACTGAGTTAGAGGTAATCTTAACGACCTGGGAGCTTAGCCTAAGAGCTTGAATAAAAATAACGTGAGTTTGGTCATATACAGCTTTTCTGAAAATACTAAACACATACCTGTTTTCAAATCTCACATGAATAACTTTTACGAGAAAAATCGATGGGGTCAACTAAATAAATGTAAATAATAGTAATATTAAATAATTGATGCTGATTATTTGCCACAAACACTGGCAAAGATAGTAAACGATACACAAGATTATCCATATTATTTGATAAATGGTATGACGCTATAGTTTATAACACGATTACTCCATAATTATGTTAAAAGGAAGAAAGCGAATCCACACTAAAAAGCAAAAAAATTACCCAGATTATTTCAATTCCTGATTCAGCGATAACTTCAATTAATCGTTTAACTGGTTCTTTTAATTTAGCATCTTCACCATTGGCTAATTTCCAGGCATTTCGCGCCCACCGTTGACCCCATTCTGTTGCACAGTTTTGAGTGAATTTACTATCAGTAACTATTCCCAAATGAGTAATACCACCAATGTGTGCCTGTTTAATTGCACATATCACCGCCTAATTTAAAGAAATGCATTAAAAAAGAATCATTATTTTTTTATTTTTGTCAGTGTGCATTGAATATATGGGGAATGTAACTCGGTAAGCACTACGGATATAATTATAAACTAAGTTATGATCTATTAGCATTAACATTGTTACTACCTCTAAAATCCTGAAAGTTTGATTTCACCGTGTTAATGGAGTATGGCAACTTGAACCAATGTACATGGGTGCCAAGTTCCATGTTGCATTTGAATTACTAACTGAGGCTATGAACCAAAAATATAAGGCAGTTAAAAGTCCGTCAGTTAGTTCATAAGCAACGTAGAATTTGTCACATGTGGGGATCAGTTTACGTTGCTGCACTATATCAGCAAAGCGGCATAAAACTGCCAAAACAGAAGGGAGAGCAGCAAATGTAGCAACATCATTAGTAGAAAAAAACTAGAAATAGCAACATGATTCGAGAAGAATTCGTGGAATATAAGGTATAAAACAATTATAAAAGTCGAAATGTAGGGGAAGGTAAAAAGCGAATGCAACAGTCAACGACTTCATGAATTGATGGTACATTTTAAGTTGACTACATTTAGATTCTTCCAGTCTGATCCTACACCACTCGCTATCATGAGTCGAAGTAGGTAATGATTGTGCATATGATTCAATCACCTCAGTTGATGAAAGCTCACTACCTCACCAGTCGATCTGAAATGCCTTATTTAAAACTGAAGTTTCGTACTGATGTTGTTCAGAAGAACTATGAATACACTACAATTAAACCAGCCAGTTAAGTGGACAAAACTCCAGCAAAGTCACCAACCTGAGCAACAAATAGTCCCCATTATTTCATTTTCCATTTTTACTTAGTGCTCTGCGTCTAATTTCAACATGGCTCGTTCGATGGCCTTACCATATGTGAGTGACGCTTCGAGGAAATCTATGATCAAACACTAATGACCTGTTTCTAAAAGCCATACAACAGAACAGAGAAAACTGCTGCATAGTACACTCATCCTTTATTCATCAGATTAACAGCTAATCTACTCGACAGGTGACGCGATTTCGCAAAAGCCAAGCGAGCTTTTTGAATAATACTGAGACTTCCTCAAATACAAACCGATCAGGGCTGACAAGACTTCCCAGACCAGTGAAATACCTAATAATAATTAATAATAATAACAATAATAATAATGATGGGAGAAACAGTTCAGTTAGCAAAAGTATGACCAGAAAGAATTTTTTTTCAATGGAAAAAGAGAAAGTTGCCCCGACCGTTGCTGCTACCTTGACGTGGTGGTCGGGCTTGCCTATCGTGATGATCCAATCGAGCTATGCTGGCTGGAACAATCGTTCCTCGAGGTCCTACCATGCCAGACAGGTCGGTTGAAGAGCGGTGAGACTAAAAGCAGCAATCCCAAGGTCCGAAGGCGAAGTCGTACTGCTGACTGTACAGAGGTGTGAAAGCAGTAACGTGTTTCCTTCAGACAACCAGCATGACAGCGATGCTGCCTTCCCACAAGGAGGGGTGGGGTTAGAAAAGGTCGACCCTAAAAATGCACACCTCGCCTTATCCCACGGATTTTCGTCTCCGGCGGTAAGGACTTTTGAAGAACGGAGCTAACACGTCAAAAATCCCCCACAAAAAGGCCGTGCGTGACCGGCCTCAAGCAGATGTCCCTTGGGCACTGCGGTCACGCTCCCAGGTCGTTAAGACCAACGTTAATATAGCCTTCTTTTTCAGGTCCCTCAAGAAATACCCTTCCACGGTGTGGGCAGCCGGGAAGTGATACTAGCCCTCATACCCTTAACTGCACACAAGACCAAGTTGGTCGCTTTCAAATCCTTCCTACACCTAATAACTCTGTTATCTCCACGACTCACCCTTCCCACGTCCTTTTATCACCTCGCACCGCTAGGGCAAACGATTCGAGTACACGGAACGTTATTCCTGGTCTCCTGAAACCACGCTACAAACTACATATAGGAACTTTTAATGTCCGAACATTGTGCCAAATAGGACAGCAGGCTTCCTTAGCTAAAACTCTAGAATCTTACACCATCGATGTGTGCTACGTCTCCGAAACGCGCATACAAGATCCGAGTAGTGTCATTCGTTTGACCGCACCTAATCAAAATAAAGTTTCATCTCGATACACGCTTCGTGTATCTGGAAGCCCTGAAGCTGCTTCCCGTGGCCTCGCTGGAGTAGGTATAGCATTAAGTCCTAGGGCAGAACTAGCTCTTTTATACTGGATCCCAGTAGACAGTCGTCTATGCGCTGTCCGACTAAACGGATCAGTAAGGACCCGGTAAGATAGGGAAACTCGTCATTGCCTCTTCGTCGTCTCTGCCTACTCTCCCACTGACTGCAGCTCAGACGATATAAAAGATGAGTTCTACAGGAAACTTTCTGACCTTCTCCGAGAAGCTAGGCGTTCTGATGTAGTAATAGTAGCAGGTGACTTTAATGCTCAAGTAGGTAAACTAAGTGAAAGGGAAAGACACCTGGGTGGATCTTATGGTGTCATGGCGAAAAGAACAGATAATGGCGACCGTCTGTTGCAGCTATGCTCAGAAAACCGCCTATTTCTTGCAAATACTAACTTTAAGCATAAGGAAAAACATCTTTTGACATGGCGACCACCGAATTCGTTCCAACGTTGGACCCAATTAGATCACATCGCTATCAGCCACCGATGGAGGGGCTCGATAGAAGACTGTCGCTCATTCTGGGGCACATATTTAGATTCAGATCATGCTCTAGTGCGAGCACGTATCTGTCTGCGTCTTACTGGTCGTAGGAAAGACACTGCAGGGAAGCCTCTAAGGGTTCTACTTAATGATAGGCAAACTAAGAATATATTTCAGGAACAACTAGAAAAACAGTTAGGCAGCCATGTAAGTTGTGTCCACCCCGAGGCAGCGTGGAATGACATCCGAAAAGCTGTAGAAACAGTAGTGATATCCGCTAGTAAGGTAAACCATAAGGTTAGGGAGAAACAATGGATCTCGGCAGCATCTACCGCACTGATAGATGCTCGTAAACTCATCCCACCTGGCTCTGAGCATAACGAAGAGCGGAGTCAACTTAAGCGCAGGCTTATAAGAAGCCTACGTAATGATCGTGAACAGTGGTGGGTAGCGAAAGCAAGAGAGATGGAAAAGGCAGCGGCAATAGGTAACAGTAGGCAGCTATTCAGACTCGTTAAAGAAACCGGTATTAGGAACCCGAATGTCAGTGAAACCATCTCAGATAAAGATGGGCATATTATTCATTCTCAATCCAGGAGATTGGATCGATGGGCAGAACACTTTAGGGATCAGTTCAACTGGCCTTCAGCCACACTTCAATTACCCACGATCCCCAGTCGTCCTGAATGGCAAATTGATGTAAGTCCTCCAACTCTCTACGAGGTTGAAAAAGCTGTAGGAAATCTGAAGCGAGGGAGAGCAGCAGGCCCTGACAGGTTGACCTCTGAGATTTTTAAGGATGGTGGTCCAGTACTAGCAGTGAGATTGACTGAGGTCTTAGGTAGAATCTGGGAACTGGACGTAATTCCATCTGACTGGTCCCAATCACTGATTGTGCCAGTCTATAAGAAAGGACAAAAGTCCTCCTGTGACAATCACAGAGGGATCAGCTTGACTAATATAGTGTCTAAAATATTAGCTCCAATAATACTTCGACGCCTAACCAAAGCTCGTGAAGAGCAGACTAGAGAAAACCAGGCTGGTTTTCGACCTGGACGTGGTTGCATGGACCAGATATTCACCCTACGTCAGGTTCTAGAACATAGACACAAATTCAGACGTCCCACAATAGTAGTATTTCTTGACCTTAAGGCGTCATTTGACTCCGTTGATCGTGAGGTTATATGGCAATGTTTGTCACTGAAAGGAGTACCAAAGAAGTACATTAACCTCATAAAGGCTCTCTACTCGAACACAACTGGTCGAGTTAGAGCCTATGGCGAACTGTCATCAGAACTGATTACCACAAGTGGCGTTCGTCAGGGCTGTCCACTCTCCCCATTCTTGTTTAACTTTGTCATTGACATACTTTTAGAGATAGCACTTTCATCATCTCAATCTCCTGGAGTTGAACTTTTACCAGGAGGCTCACTTGTTGACTTAGAATACGCCGACGACATAGTTATACTCGGTGAAGACGCTGACAACATGCAGAGTCTTCTGACCACTATAAGCAACTATGCAGGCATGTTCGGGATGCGATTCTCTCCCTCGAAGTGAAAAATGTTACTTCAGGATTGGGTTGCATCGACACTTGAACTAATGATAGGGAGTGAAGTAGTTGAGGATGTTGACAGCTTCACTTATCTTGGGAGTCTCATCAGCCCTTGTGGTCTGGTATGTGACGAAATCTCAGCACGGATACAGAAGGCTCGTCTAGCTTTCACCAACTTGCGTCATTTATGGCGTAGGCGAGATATCCGTCTAGCAACCAAAGGACGGGTTTACTGTGCAGCAGTTCGCTCCGTCCTACTTTATGGCAGTGAAACATGGCCAATAAGAGTAGAGGATATTCGTAGGCTACTAGTGTTCGACCATAGGTGTCTTCGAAGCATTGCTCGTATATCCTGGGACCACCGGGTAAGTAATGCAGTTGTTAGGAAACGAGTACTAGGTAGGGATGGCAAATCGATTGATGAAGTAGTGAAACTTCATCAGTTGAGATGGCTGGGACATGTGTTACGTATGCCGGACCACCGACTGCCCCGACGTGCAATGTTTCATGGTGTAGGAGTAGGTTGGAAGAAAGCTAGGAGTGGCCAGACCAAAACGTGGCACAAATCAATGAAGTCACTGACAAGTGGACTGAGCCATCTTGGTAGGTGTAGACTACCTGGTTGGGATTCGCGAGACGACAGCAACCGATGGTTAGAGACCTTGAATGACATGGCTCAAAATCGTTTGCAATGGCGAAAGTGTATCCACTCTTTGTGTTCTACCAAATTCTAATCTTCTGAATTCCTCATGTCTATCTTTTTCTCTTTCCAAATTTATTTCACTGTACTATACTGCTTCAATAATTTCTTCAAACCCTAATCTTTTGGATTTCTGATTATACTCCTACTACTTCTACCACTATGGGATTTGAATCGACAACTGCATCTCTGTGCTAATGTGGTATGGCAACTCGAACTGATGTACGTACGTACGAAGTTCTACGTTGTGACTGACTGACTGAAGAGAAAGTTGCAGTAGTATCACCACTGACTTCCATTCTGAGCCATGTCTGGTAAAGTCTCTAGACACTATGTTGCACCTTCCCTAGGACTCGAACCAGGGAGTCGTGAAGGACCAACAGAAGCCAATCCTGTACAGCTTTCTTTCATACCGATGCAACTCAACCGTGAAGTAACATTTTGCACTATGAGGGGGAGAATCGCATCCCGAACATGGCTTCATTGTTGCTTATAGTGGTCAGAAGACTATGCATTTTGTCAGCATCTTCACCAAATAGAACTGTCATCGGCGTATTCCAAGTCATTAAGTGAGTCTCTCGGTAAAAGTTCAACTCTTGGAGACTTAGTTGATGAATGTGAGGCAAAATGAATGACGCTACTCGGATCCTGTATGCGCGTTTCGGAGACGCAGCACACATCGATGGTGCGAGATTCTAAAGTCCTAGCTAAGGAAGCCTGTTGTCTTGTTCTGCACAATGTTCGGACATTAAAAGCTGCCACTTGTAGTTTAGAGTGTGGTTTCAGGAGACCTGGGATAACGTTCCGCATACTCGAATCGTTTGCATTGGCGGCGCGAAGTGATAAAGGAACGTGAGTAAGGTTAGTCGTGGACATAAGAGAGTTATTAGGAGTTGTAGGAAGGATTTGATTGTGACCAACTTGGTCTCGCGTGGTGTTACAGGTATGAGGGCTAATACCACTTCCTGGCTGCCCACACCGTGGAAGGGTATTTCTTGAGGGACCTGAAAAAGAAGGCTATATTAACGTTGGTCTTAACGACCTGGGAGCGTGACCGTAGAGTCCAAGGAACAACTATTTGAGGCCGGTCACGCACGGCCCTTTTGTGGGGGGGTTTTGACGTGTTAGCTCCTTTCTTTAAAGGGCCTTACCGCCGGAGACGGAGATTCATGAGGTAAGGTGAGGCGTGACATTTTCAGGGTCGACCTTTTTTAACCCCTTCCTTCCTTGTGAGAAGGCAGCATCGCTGCAGATGCTGGTTGTCCGAGGGAAACATCTTACTGCTGTCACACTCATCAACAGTCAGTAGTAAAGCTTCGCCTTCAGACCTTGAGTTGCTGCTTTCAATCTTGTCGTTCTCCAATCGACCTGCCTCGCATGGTAGGACCTACAGAAACATGTGTTCCAAGAAATATATCTCGGTTCGGTCATCACGATAGGCAAGCCCGACCACCACGTCAAGGTAGCAGCTACGGACGAGACCACCTTAAAGTGGCTGCTATGATAAAACTGAAGTTAAAGAAGCAATGAATAATTGGAGAAACAGCATTACAAAGCTTCAATATAGCCTTCCTTCGAGATGCAGACAAACTCAACGAATTCAAGACAGCTCTCAACAACAGCCGCCAAGCCTTACAAGATCTACCTGCTTCAGTTTGGGCACCTGAGCAGTATCACAGCCCTCACACAAATCGAATGAGATTTGTGCGGCGCATATGTATCTGGTACCCCCTTGTACCAATATTTATGTGTGTAAATAAATAAAAATAAATAAACTTACAAGATCTACCCAAATAAATAGAAACTACAAGTGGAAATACGTGCAAGACCTAGCAATGACAGTGGAAAAAGCTGCAAGGGAAGGAGATATGAGACAACTATATGATAAAACGAAGAAACTGGTAGGGAAATATGGTAAAGCAAAGAGACCGGTCTAAGACAAAAAAGGCAAGTCAATCACCGAGATTCAGGAACAACAAGACAGGTGGGTAGAGCACTTTGAAGAACTCTTGAAAAGATTAGCCCCACTGAACTCACCAGACATCGAAGCTAAACACACAGACATTCCTATAGATCTCATTCCACAACGATCGAAGAAATCAACGTGGCCATCAGACAAATCAAGAGTGCAGAAGCAGCACGACCTGATAATATACCACGTGAAGCACTGAAGTCAGACATAGAGGTAACTACAAACATGCTCCACGTTCTATTCAAGAAGATTTGGGAAGAGGAACAAGTGCCAACGGACTAGAAAGAAGGATATCTGATCAAGATACCAAAGAAAGGGGACTTTAGCAAGTGTGAGAAATACAGAGACCTCATACTACTATCGGTACCAGGAGTGTTGCTGAACCGAGTAGAAGATTCAGTAGACGTCCAACTTCAAGATCAACGGGCTGGATTCCGTAAGCCAGTTATAGAAAACGTTTTAGATACATGTAGTTGATATTTAGGAGCAATTATTATCAGAATAAATGTTTACCTCAATTTCTGCTCTATTATTTGTTTGCTCTCCTTCTAAACGCTCAGAGACATTCCTTGAAATGGTAAGAGCCAATTTGATGCTTACCATGGATGATTAGGTCCCCAGTAAACACCATAACCAGCACGACGATCATCATGTGCACCGTTACATGAACCATCAGTATAAACCATTACACGTCGCGGGCATGATGCATCTGGTCAAAAGACAGAGAAAAAAGATATCAACAGTGAAAAGACAAATAGGTCTAATTGCTTAACAATGTTAGTAAGTTGATATAGAACCTCATAAATTTACTTACTACAGGAAATATCACTAAGTATCGTGTTTGAGAAAATAATAACATTATGTTGAGTTAAGATAATACCAAACTATAACCGGCTGGCTTTCTAGTTGCATCAACAGTCAGGTTAATTGACTAGAGATATTTTTCCAAGATATAACCATAGCAGAAAGATTGACTGTACAGATAAGCAAGATGATATGAACAATTCGAAACCTAACAACTGTACACCCAGTTGGTAGGTTGCTACACTTCATGTCAGAAGGAAGAGGAAATCAACTATTAGCGAAACTTTACACAAAATTGTGGAATAAGAATAGAATAACAGCGTATTGAATGTTTCAAGTACGAAGGAAAATGGTTCTGCAACCGACTAAACAGCACATGACTATAAGATCTAAAAATTCAGGGTGTGGCTTTGTAGGATAGCGCTGTTTTAATTCAACACCTATTATATTATGGTTCGTTCCCCAAGGAAGTATTTATAACCACTCTTAATCGACAGCAACCAACTTATCACATGATGTCTTGTTTACCCAAAGCTGCTCACTTGATAGTTTCATCATATCTAAACTATTTGATAGGGATTGTTGGTTAGATGCCTATAGCACCATGTTTGATTTAACTAGTCATATTTGACGGCTACATTAGAGAATACAAGGAGGGTGTAGCAGAACATAAGTTTATAACGTAATATCAAACCTCTGATTGAGGTTAACAACGGAGTCAAGCTGTACTGATAGATTTCCACACATGCCAAAACTTGAAACACTAACATACGATTGATATGCCAAGTTAGAGTACCGCCAAATAGTACACCGACATAATGATTTTGCATTTCTTCATTACAAAATGTACATCTGATGGTTTTAATTAAAACAAGAATAAATACTCTTTTAAAGTCATCTTGAACTTAACACCACAATGTCGTATGATAACCGTACATTAATGAGTACGTGAGTTATCCTCAAAGGTCTTGTTATAAAAGTTGAGTGAGAAATATGGCTGTCTGTAATTAAGACTGCTTTTACTGAGGCTTATATAAAATTGGCCCCTGAATGCTTTAGCACACTCGAGAGTGAAGCGAGTCTGTTCTCCCTCTCAAAATGCTCTCATACGGTCACCGACTTCTCGCGGCGAGTATTGTTTGTGAAATGTCCGGCTCTTATACCGAGTTAGTGAGTACGGAGGATCCATTTAGGGAGTTGGAAAACCCTGATTTTAAACCAATGGTATAAATGGACTCCAGGAGGTAAAAATGGAATAAGAAACTATTGTTGGTCACTGGCTACCGTGGGACCTCACCCCCTAACGTTGCTCCACTGCTTTGAGGACTAGACTCCTAGGTTAAAAGCGCGGGTAGTGACCCTCCAATTTATTTATTTATTTATTTAAACACATATATATTGGTACAAAAGGGCACCAGGTACATATGCGCCACACAAAATAATGAAAGTAGGAAGAGAAGGGATGAAAAGATAAGGCGGACTAAAATGTACAACCAGAAGACTCTTTCAAATAGGAAAGTAAGAACCATACTTTATGTAGAAAGTAAAAGAAGGTTGCAGCAGGATCGCCACTGGTTTCTATTCTGAGCCATATCTGATAACGTCTCTAGCCACTGTGTTGCACCATCTCTCGGACCCCAACCAAGGAGTCGTGAAGGACCAACAGAAGCTAGCCCTTTGCAGCTCTCTTTCATGCCACGACACCATGTCATACACTGACCTCCTCTCCGCTTTTTCCAACCAGTCCCAGGGTCGGCAAATAATGCACGACGTGGAAGTCTCTGGGACGACATTCGTAAAACATGTCCAAGCCACCGAAGTCGGTGTTTCAAGATGGTGACACCAATTGAATTATCGTCTCTGTGCCCGAACACACGATGCCGAACCTCTGCATTACTAACATGGTGTTGCCACTGGATGTCAGCAATCCTTCGGAGACAACGATGATCGAACACAGAGAGACGTCTAACATCCTCAACTCGGAGAGGCCAGGTTTCACAAGCATAGAGCAAAACTGCTCTCACCGACGCGTTGTAAATCCGACTTTTTACAGCCAGACTAACATCACGAAGGCGCCAAAGATGGCCCAGATTGGCATAAGCCGATCTGGCTTTCCTTATACGTGCATCAATCTCATCACTCACGCCACCACCAGCACTTATATAGCTACCTAGATACACGAACTTCTCAACTACTTCGATCTGCTCACCATCCAGGGTGAGTACAGGATTAGAATCCTGCCAGTCTTGTAGAAGTACTTTGCACTTGGAGGGTGCAAAGCACATGCCGTACCTGCGGACACTGATTGCCAACTGATTAAGTGCTGATTGCATGCCTTGGGCATTATCGCACAGTAAGACAATATCATCCGCATACTCAAGGTCGAGAAGTCGTTCTCCAGGCAACATATCCACACCGCCATTACTTACATCCATCAGAGCTGTTTCCAAGATGTCGTCGATGGCAAAGTTGAAGAGGAATGGTGAGATCGGGCAACCCTGCCTAACCCCACTGCTGGAATGGAACAAGGGAGAAAGGTGGTTGTATGCCCTCACTCTGCCTGAGGTGTTCGTGTACAGGGCCTTTAAGATGTTAATGAACTTCTCAGGTACACCCTTCTTCAATAGACAATCCCAGAGAACAGTCCTGTCCAACGAATCGAAGGCAGCCCTGATATCAAGAAACACTACGATTGTTGGCCTGCGATAAGTATGACGGTGTTGTAACATTTGGCGGAGGGTGAATATGTGATCAATGCATCCTCGACCAGAACGAAAACCAGCCTGCTCCTCGCGAGTCAATCGTTCTCGGGTTTTAAACAACCTACGAAGAATGATAGAAGCCAATAGTTTGGACGCAATCGGATGAGTTGGAAGAGCTTCCGGCAGTTACCAGATGCAGCTGCTGCTTCCATCTCCTTAGCACGCTCCGACCACCAGGCTTCCCGGTCCTTACGCAAGCTTTGCCCAATTTCATTACGTAACAGCCTTCGTTTGTGGTCAAACTCACGGTCACCCGGAGTAGACCGACGGGCTTCCATCAGTTGTAAGGAGCCAGAAGAAACCCAGTGCTTGTAAGCGGGACGTTTCGCGAAGCCGCAAGCGGCTTTACTCGCCATTTTCATGGCGTCGTGAAGATGCAACCAATGCTCATCTATACTTTTCGGTGGGGTGTTAGCTAGCCTAGAGGCTAGCTCCGCTCGGTACTTACTTGCAACAGGAGTTGCAGCCAGTTTACTAATATCAATCCGTTGGTGGTGGTCAATCCTTCGGCCACTGAAAAGTAAGGTGAGATTGGCGCAGACCAGGGCATGATCAGACTCCAGATAGGTACTCCAAAAGGAGCGGCAGTCTTGTACACAACCACGCCAGCGGTAGCTGATCGCGATGTGATCAATCTGAGTCCAGGCTTGGGATGCAGAGGGAGGACGCCAGGTGGCACACCGGCGATGACTGTGCCGGAAGTTAGTGCTGGCCAGAAACAGGTTGTGGTCTGTGCACAGTTGCAGCAAACGGTCCCCGTTATCTGTCCTGCGACCAACAAGTCCCCATCGGCCACCTAGACGACTCTCTTCTGTGCCTAGACGCCCGACCTGTGCATTCAAGTCTCCGGCTAGTACTACAATATCTGTCGAACGCGCTTTCTGGAGAATAACTGTTAACTGATGGTAAAACTCATCCTTGATTGCATCCGGGCTGCAATCTGTCGGGGCATAGGCGGAGATGACGAAAAGACACCGTTTCTCACGCCGGTTTCTTCTCACTTTGATGGAACTTTCTAATCTAACAGCACATAACCGACTGTTAATGGGGAACCAATCGATTAGTGCTGCCTCAGCTCTAGCGCTTAGTGCGACACCAACGCCAGCAAGACCAGACGAAGATGCCACAGGGTCCCCGGATAAGCGCACGTGGAACAAGCTTTTCGAGGCGACAGATGGAGAGCGGATTTGTAGTACTTCACTAGAGTCTTGAATACGGGTCTCAGATAGACAGCAAACATCAACATTAAGACCTTCCAAAGACATAGCCAGCCCTATCTGTTGTCTGATCTGCATTAGTGTGCGAACGTTGAAGGAAGCCAGCTTGAACGGCGTACGCGGTTTCAGAAAGACTGCCTCAGTATTCATTATCGGTGGAAGCATTCACTTTCAACCAGACAGTGACTGGAGATCGTTTAGACAGGACAGATTTTCCACCAAGAGCGAGCTGATGCATAAGTTGAAGAGTAAGGTTACACAAATTGGGGGTAAAAGGGGGTGAATTAGCGATATGGTAAGTAATAATAATAATAATAATAACGTAAATTGTCTTGCTTATAATATGAGCAGGAATAGAATCGTCAATAGAGTTCGTCATTTCATTCATTTGTGACCCTCCAAGAAAACCACCTGTTAGAGGTACGAAGATGGTTATCACTTCCCGGTTGTCCATACTGTGGAAGGGCTAGAGGTGGTCTTAGTGATCTGGTAGCGTGACCGCAGTGCCCAAGGGATAACTGTGTGAGGCCGGTTACACACGACATTTTTGTGATTAGTTTAAGTGTTAGCTCCGCATTTGTTGGGACCTCACCGCCGGAGACGGAAATCTGTGGGATAAGGTGAGGTGTGCACTTTCAGGGTCAAACATTTTCAACCCCACCCTTCCTTGTAGGAAGTCAGTATCGCTGTTATGCTGGTTGCCTGATAGAAAAACCATACTGTCGTCACACTCCTGTACAGTCAGCAGTACGACTAAGCCCTCGGACCTTGGGTTTGCCGCTTTCAGTCTTGTCGTTCTTCAACTGACCTGTCTGGCATGGTAGGACCTTAAAGAACGACTGTTCCAGCCAGTATAACTCGATTGGTTCATCACTATAGGCCAGCTCAACCACCACGTCAAGGTAGCTGCAACGATCGGGAGAAAACCACCTGCTTCGATTTGGGCATCCGGGCAGTACACTACGCCAGACACAAATGCAATGACTTTGGAGGTGCATATATATTTTGGTGTCTCTTTTTACCGATGTTCATTTATTAGAATAGCAATAATAATAATAAACTATAATTAACCAAGAATGTTCGTAATAATTTCCGGTTTTGAATGTTGTGCGATTCTCCAGAATGTTTGAGTATGTCAAATTATTAACTGATTCAATGCCTACAAATTAAACAATAGGTAAGGTGATTGTTCATATTTATGAAAAAGTAACGGTTGATCGGTTTCAACGTCCGTAACGTTTAATATTAAATGATAGTTGCGGATAACTAGGGGTGTTTTTTTATCCAACAACTTAAGAAGCTACATTGTTGTGTCTAGTTATGAACATTACAGCGCCACTTTATTCCACGAGGAAAGACTTACTATCGACAGCAAAACGACAGAATCAAAACTAATATTCTACCAACTGAAGCTACAAAATCCGACTTACAAAGATTAGGACTGTACTTGCCCTCAAATGCCCTGGTACAGTCGAAAGTGAGGAGAGTCCGCTCTCCCTCTCCAAATGCTCTCACATGGCCACGCGTATATAGTCTCTGCCAGGGAAGTTCTACTCATTGCCTTCTCCTGTCGGGGGTGTTGTTTACGAAATTGCGAGGTCGAAAAGCGAATGTCCGGCGTTTTAACCAGGTCGGTGGATATGCAGGATCCACCTAGGGGAGTTGTAAAACCCTCATTCCAAACCAATAGTGCATATAGGCTCCAGTATCCTGAGGGAACAAATGGAGTATGAATCAATCGTTGATCACATGGGATACCATGGGATTGCATCTCCTCACGATGCTCCAATGCCTTGTGGAACAGACCTTTAGGTCAAAGGCTCGGGGTGTGGCCCCCCACAAAAACCACCTGCTTTGGTTTGGGCACCCGGGCAATATCACAGCCCTCACACAAATCAAATGAGATTTGTGTGGCGCATATCTATCTGATGCCCCCTTGTACCATTATTTATGTCTTTAAACAAATAAATAATGCCAATTAATCTCTAAATCAAAACAGGTGATGTAATGTTGAGTTTATGACCATTCTGAATTTAGTCTAGGGTTTTATATTATTATAATGACACCAGTATATGATAACATTTTACTACTCTTCTAGACGAAGTACTAGACCCAAATACAAAGTCAACAAACCGTCTGCTCACCGTGGACTTCGATTGAGACGCTGTACTTGGGGTTCTTAAAACTTTAGACACGGAAAAGTCAACAAGACCGGATGAACTACATCCCAAAATCCTGGAAGAAATTGCACAACATATTGTAGCCCTAATAACTGTGACATTCAATGTCACTCAGCCCAAATGTGTTACCTACGATTGGATGGATCCAATCGTCACTCCAATACATAAAACAGGACCAAGACAACTTCCATAGAACTACAGACCTCTCAGCTTCACCAGTGTCGCAGTTAAAGTACTGAAAAGAATAGTCAAAAAGACCATAATGACGTTCGTGGAAATCGACAACTTGTTAAACAGCGAACAACATGGTTTTAGAAAACGTTTGTCTTGCACAACAAACCTCCTTATAGTAATGAAGCAATGGATAAAGGCTTTAGACAATGGAAAATCAGTGAATGTTGTCTACATTGACTTCACCAAGCATTTGATAAGGTGTCAACAAATCAACTGCTCTTGAGGCTGGAAAATCTAGGCATTGCCGCCTTCCCCTTAAAATAGATTGAGGATTTCCTGGTAGGTTGTAGACAAAAAGAGTAAGTTTCAAGTGCTTAACCTAGAGACCAGTACTTAGTGTAGTGCCTCAAGGTGTTGTCCTAGGTCTTTTACAATTTAAACTGTATCTAAATGACCTCCCAAGTATAGTTGCGTTCCCAATGTTATTATACGTTGATGTAAAAATCTGGCAAGAAATAACAGGTGACGCAGATGCATGCGCACTTCAAGCACACTTAAATATTGCGATCAGCTGGACTAAAGAGTGGGTGGTGTCTATCAACGCGGCAAAGTGTATATACATGTACTTTGTGGATTCAAAGGTAAATAGTTACAGCACATAAGAGCTCGTGCCCGTAGTCGTGTCTCACAAGGATCTTGGGGTAACAATGAGTCATGATCTTAAGACGACGGCCAACTGCTGTGAGATCGCAGCTAAGGGGTTTACAACCCTATGGGCTTTGAGACGGACATTCACCAAGTTAAATACTACCATCTTCACTACAGTATACAAAACCTTAGTGGGGACTACGCCTGAAAACTGCGTTCAGGCTGCAAGCCCCTGTCTAAAAGGTGACTCGGAAATCATGGACAAAGTATAGATGGCAACTACCCGTGCGAATCCAGGACTCCGAGGTTTACCATACAAAGAGCGGCTTAGTAAGTTAGACCTCTTTACTATTTTTTATCTCAGAGATGATCTGATATTTTGATGTAAATAATATTGAGAAATGGTTTTGGACCTAATATATCCTTTCTTTTTCTTCCCACTAGACCAGGACATCTAAGAGGACATAGCAGGCGAGTAGAAAAAGCCAAGAACAGATAAAATACCCAAGGCATACAGGTTTCCACACCAAGGCTTTAATTCTTGGGACCTGTTACCCGAGGTAGTGGAGTCCGCACCTTTAATTGACTCATTCAAGAGAATACTAGACACTCCCCGACCGTTGCTGCTACCTTGACGTGGTGGTCGGGCTTGCCTATCGTGATGATCCAATCGAGCTATGCTGGCTGGAACAATCGTTCCTCAAGGTCCTACCATGCCAGACAGGTCGATTGAAGAGCGGTGAGACTAAAAGCAGCAATCCCAAGGTCCGAAGGCGAAGTCGTACTGCTGACTGTACAGAGGTGTGAAAGCAGTAAGGTGTTTCCTTCAGACAACCAGCATGACAGCGATGCTGCCTTCCCACAAGGAGGGGTGGGGTTAGAAAAGGTCGACCCTAAAAATGCACACCTCGCCTTATCCCACGGATTTCCGTCTCCGGCGGTAAGGACTTTTGAAGAACGGAGCTAACACTTCAAAAATCCCCCACAAAAAGGCCGTGCGTGACCGGCCTCAAGCAGATGTCCCTTGGGCACTGCGGTCACGCACCCAGGTCGTTAAGACCAACACTAATCCAACTTCTTTTTCAGGTCCCTCAAGAAATACCCTTCCACGGTGTGGGCAGCCGGGAAGTGATACTAGCCCTCATACCCTTAGCTGCACACAAGACCAAGTTGGTCGCTTTCAAATCCTTCCTACACCTCCTAATAACTCTGTTATCTCCACGACTAACCCTTCCCACGTCCTTTTATCACCTCGCACCGCTAGGGCAAACGATTCGAGTACACAGAACGTTATTTCTGGTCTCCTGAAACCACGCTCTAAACTACATATAGGAACTTTTAATGTCCGAACATTGTGCCAAATAGGACAACAGGCTTCCTTAGCTAGGACTCTAGAATCTTACACCATCGATGTGTGCTGCGTCTCCGAAACGCGCATACTACGTTGTGACTGACTGACTGACTGATACTAGACACTCATAGAAGCTTACGAGAAAAGGAATAATAGGTCGTAGGCCATCTGTCCTTACTAAAGGAATCTGAAACTATATATCGCTGAGGCCGTCACCAGAACGATCTAACGAACGCAACGGGGCATTGTTGCTCTCATGAAATGCTCAAAACCCTATCTGAAAAATCAGTATCGGTTGAACTAATAAGTTCAGGCCTTCATAGACGCGTTCGCACGAAGGATTAAGACGGGTCAATCGACCTATTATCCTCACTTCATTAGTAAGGTTTCTACAAAGATCGGACAATAACTAACCATCTAAGTATATTTCGGCATTTACTATCAAGTGTTACTAGTTTTACTAATCATGTGAACCGTTCATAAAATCCTTGGTTTACATGGCTTTTCGTGGTTTAGATAAATCGACGTACGAACATCGGTCTCAATCTGGAATCGCAAGTCGCAGCTATTAGAGTAACAACCAGGAGTCACCAACAGGTATTAATATTTAATACTATTGATACCTAATGGTTGGGACTGAAACATGAGGAACTAATTTTGATGTTCGTGAAATGAGCACTTATGATGCTTCTAAATACACAAGATATCTGAAGAGTTTTCAAATCAACCCTCCAATGGCAGATACAGAAGAACTAAAATCCATATGAGAATCAGTCTATCTTCAAAGAATGGATGAAGCATCAGCAAAATACATGCCAAGTCTTGGGAATAGATGTAACAGATTAAAAGCTGAAATAAGGGGAAGGCTTTTTATATCTAATTCTCTGTTGGCCTGAATACCAATAAAGCATTACCATGATAAAATGTTAGAGTGCTTGGAACATGGTCACTACGGATGTAATGCTCTTCAGGAGATAACTTGGTCGGTAACGGATCTTCTATCTAAATGTGTAGCAATTAAACGCCATACCTCGACCATCCAGGTCACTATTCATGCTCCCAATCTTTCGCTTTTTCGAAAGTACAGTTCCAACCTCACGCCCAGCTTCTAGGAAATTTCGTAACCGGGAGTAATAGAAACTACCAATAAACTTTATAGCTTCATCATAGGAAGTGAATTTCTTAAAGCAAGCCCCAGCGTAGCCATTTACAAGGTCCTTGCACTCAGACCCAATTACTTCATAGTTAAAAACTTCATAGGACTCACCAACTCGAGAAGACACCGACGCTACGACCGACTCGAACACCATAAAAAGGCATTTTAAATGTCGCATACGCCTTGGGCGCCTAAAACAACCAAATGTTAAGGTCTTTCCAATATCCAATATCCATGTAACCGGCCTTCATAAATCACTCGACTCATTTACCTTTGTTTCTTATTGTTACGGTATGGTTACAAATCTTTGGTAACGTCAAATGGACGGTTGTCCAGCCACTCGACTCTTTTAATTCTAGTCAATTCGGTAGCCATACGTGGACTTTTATGAATGGTAGTCTGAGTGGGTGCTTTTGTATCGGCACAGTAGAGTTTCTGGATACCAGTAGTCATCAAATCGCCAGTCAGGAAGCCAGCTGTCCACAATGTCAAAAACGATGAAGATAAAATTCTAATGATAAGTGAAGACTACTGTTTCAAAAAAATAAATAAGTTATTTGGTTGGAAATGTGGACAGTGTGGAAGACTAAAGTGTAAAAATAAAAGGGGAAACGTCGATGATAATGGGCAGTATATGGTTTGCGATGATAATAACAGAAAGTATGGTGCGAAACATGCACCAGGCACAGCTAATCCAGACGGGAGATGTTAATCCACGTGTTTGTCAAGTCTCCCCTTCAATCTATACACTAAGGTGGTTGCGTTCACTTAGGCTGGAAGAGAATTCCAAATGGGGGCAACTCATAGCGAGAATACGTGAGATCGCATCTAGATGTTCGCTATTTTGTGTTCAATCCTTCGAGAGTCGCCTAGAGTAGCATGTTGACGATGCTATGGTAATAAGTTCTCATCGGAGTGGTTTGTCTTGTTTATAAGTTGCATGTCATTACAAGATCACCCCTTTTTGTCCTATAGCTTAACGAGTATAATACTAAGTGTTGAAGTCTGTTCTCATTAGACTTCTTGTATAGCCTTATTAACCACTTTGCTGCCCGTCTCTGTACTTCATCCAGGACATTTATATCGCTTCCAAAGTGAGGGGTCAACGAAATTTCTGTTCTGATTGTGCCAAGTTGTCTACTCACAAAGTAGAGAGTTGAGTTTTTCTTGGCTAAATACCCTTTTTAATATGAATTGGTGTCTAGCTTCTATGTGGTTACAAGCCTGAGATCACTCTCCATCTCCATGGATGGAACATTCTTTGTGTCAAATGAAGCAGAATGTTCGCGATATGATATTTTTACATGTTACATTTGAACCCACTGTCTACTGTTCATCTCCCGATTATCGCAACGTCCTTCTAAAGTTTAGGGGGATGCTTTTCGCTTTTCATGGACTTATAAATTTTTGCATCGTCTGTATAGATCAGTGACGCCAAGCTTATTTTATCTAATAGGTCGTCAATAAAGATTAAGAACAGGAGGGGACCTACGATTGTTCTTTGTGAAACTTCTGCCGTTGGGACCTCCTGATTTGCATGTACCCTATTTAACTTGATACGAAACAACTTGTTCCTTGGGTAGTTTTAGAGCTAAGATAAAAGTAGTTCAGTGAAACCCATTTTTGCAACCTCCGTTATGAGAAATATATGAGGTATTGTGTCAGATGCTTTTTCAAACTTCAGTAGCAATACATAAACCGTTATTTTTTGGTCCCAGTAGACCGCCTGAATGTCCCATAATAAGAAGAGATCGAACGCAAATGACCTGTTTTTTCTGAATCTGTGTTGGACTTTGTGGAGGATGTTGTTTTTGTCCATGTATTCCCTCATTTTTTCATTGACCAGTCCTTCGATTACACTCGACAACATTGGGAAAAATGCGATTGTTCTGTGAAAGTATGGATTTTTTTCTTTCTCTATGAAGTTCGTAGTGAGGGTTGGCCGCTTTCATTTTCTTGGGTGTTCAATACAAAAAGTGATAAGTTATGTAGAGTGACAACGCAGCATGACCAAACCATGCCATCTTGATTAATGCTACCCTCGTTCACTATCTTTGACTTCCTGTGAGTGTTACATGTTAGGTGTAAATCTTCTCAGTAATTATGTGCTTGGCTTCAAAGATCATGTGGTTAAGAACCAGTACCACTACAAACCAATCACTTGTTCTGAATTAACGTATTTATATGCTTACTTCTGTCTGAGTAACTTAGAACCAGAGAACATCGTATATGGGGACAATTTTCGTGTACAAAATTACGGCTTCTGTGCACATTTGAAACATCTTCCCACTCAGCGTAAGGTCATATACTTGGCCGAAAGACCATGTCCGACCGCAGCTAACCTAATTGTGATATTTGGTTACATTGGTCGATCATTAGTGTGATTTATGACTTAAAGGGCATGCGAATCTGTATGGGGCGAAACAACCCGACTTCTAACTTAATAGGAAATGCGATCTTATTTATACTGACTATAATGCAGAAAAGTAGAAAGGAAGTAAATTAGATTATGCAAATAACGTACATCAGAAATAAAGTACGAATGACAAATTAACGAAGTGACTAGGAACGTAATAGATTGAATAGGTCGTTAGCCGAAAATCGTAGGATCAATGATAAAGAAACGCACAGATCATGAACATTTGTTACATGAGAAAGGAGCTAGACGATGGATAGGCATACATACGTACAGGCAAATCCAAAGCGTTGGGACCCTTGACGTTTGTGCATTGGTAAAGCTGTATTTATTATGATAATAATAGTGGTATATTCCCAACTGACAATATGTTACATAAGGCATGCCAGTTACAGACAAGACAAAATTATCATATATGCAGCAGGCCTTACTTTAAAAAGTTTCTCAATTAAGTTGATATTTTATAAGGCACATTTATCATAGAAAGAGGGGAACATTTTCATACATTGGAATAATAATGTTAATAAAACCCTAACGATCAATTTAAGATGGTGTACTTTATGAGGGTTGTGTTGTGACAAGCAACTGGTGGACGAGAATGAATGTAATGGAGGTCCAGAGCTGTTTTAACGATACGTAATGCGCTGAATGCATAATCAGTCAGTCAAAAACATCAACCTTGACGTATTATTTAGTGTTTCTTGATAGTTTTCTCAGATAGACGTCAAAGGTATTAGTGACGTTCCAGGACGAAGTTGTATATTCTATATATGTTTTCGGTGGTATACCACGAGGGTACTGAAAAGGATAAGAAAAAAGAAAAGGAGAGAAGTAGAACAGGCAGTTCTCATGATTAGTGAGTTTTAGTAACTTGCAATAGAATAATTAAGGTATGACTACTTAGACTTATGCTTTTCTAACTAGGTCAGTTTTTTAAGCAAGTATATTTCAACAGGTTGAAGAAACCAAGGCAAAGTATGATGTTAAACAAACAGAGAATTGTATAAATGGAAGTTTTGGATTGTGTATTTTTAAAATTTAATGAGGAAAGCTCAGTGTTCAGATACCCTCTAGCTTCATTTTATTATTGTAACTTTTGAAGAGCCACTAGTGGACTCCTATTTATCGTAATTGTTCGGTTTTGCTTGCAATAACATTTCTCAGTAGGGAGTGAACCATTAATGAAGTCTAAAGATCTATCAATTGAGATGCTACTATCTAAAGATACAATATCTTATCATCGTTTTGTTTTTGTTGATGAATAATTTCTTGATCTTTGATTTAAATTCGTGTGAATCGTTTACGAAATTAATTAGTTATGCTGGAGTACATTCACTATGTTGCTTTATCTAAATGTCTGAGCAACCTTCCAAAGCCACTTCAATACAACCAACATACCACAAATTGTAAATGTGACTGCAGCAAAACAAGTTGTACGAAGCCAACAGCAACATCACGACTGAAATTTAAGTTTGCGGTAAAAAAATACTGTAACAGTAAATAACCACAGCATATCTGATTGCGCTGGTTCAACCTCTGTGACAGTAAAGTCTAATACAGTCTCGGTAAAATCGCAGACGTTGAACGAGCTCGTCCCAATACGCATAAGCATCTACCAACTATATAAAAATGCATCTGAAGGTAGACGAACAATGTTCGCTGTGGAGATAATTTACGAATATGCCTTCTGATCCAATCAGTTTGCTCAACTATCTCATGCGAACATGGTGTTTTCAGCACATAGCTCTTTTTTACCTAAACAAATATTACCACCCAGTTATTCAACCAACAATTGATACCAAAATATTCAATCTAAATTACAATGAATAGCAAAGTGGTAAGAAATGTATGAAAATTATCGAAAACAATAAAAGGTAAGTGTTATTCTATCCTTTCTGGATAGATCAAGTAAGATTCCGTTTGAGCGCCTGTTGTATAACACAAAGTGTTTCAATTTCTGGGAAAGTGTTCCAATTTACAACCAAAATACAAGATCCCAGTCAAAATCAAACCGCACAATCAAAGAGCGAGCAGTCAATATAGCAGCTGCCATCATGATATCAATTAAAACAAATTATACAGTGCAAGAAGAATATAGAAACCCAATGAAAGCAACAGAAGAAACTGAGAAAACTATCATGAAGTGAAACACCACAATGCAAAATGGCATCAAAAATGACAAAAAAAATGTACAAACAACGAAAACATTAAGAAGAAGCTATGGATGTATGCATGGGGTGATTTTCACACACGGAACGTTCAAATGGATTCTACAACCTGGTTATTTATTCTGTTTTATTTTACTTTTATTACTCATTTGGCAATACACACGTAGTCGTTTACTCTTGTTCCGTGTTCATTAACACGCTTGTTAAACTATTTACGTATTTCTCATTTCCTTTATTTTTTGCTTCCCCAGTTTCTTCCCTTCCTTCTTTAAAATCAATTCAATATTCTCAATTATACAAAACCTGATTTATTATTATTCTATCATTATTTTCTTATTTTATTTCTTTTCTCTTTTTTGAATACGATGCTAACATTATTGAAACTTGTGTATTATTACATGTTTGAAGAAACTCGAAATGGTTTCTTAACAACACCTAAGTACCCACAAGATGATTGTGAATAACAATAATATAAAATAGTCAGTATAATGTTTTAGCATACACGTTTATATATTTTTTAAATATAGGTCTGATTAGTTCCTGTAAATCCATAAAGTACGTGTGTTATTG